TTTTCAGCTAAGTTTTGCCAGTGGATTTAACTGTTATCTGTTCATAGCTCGACACACTTTTAATACAGCAAGCAGAGTTTTATGATGTTGTAGCGTAAAGTGAGGTCTTTCTTTAAAATGACGAGAAAAGAACAAAGAAAAAACTGAAGTTTGTTTTAAAGTGATGAAGATGAAACAGGTAAGAGGAGACAACAGGACCTGGAGGAAAGCAGTCGTCTCAAAGGCCCGTCCTGAATTCTGAATTACTGAGGTAAGCTTGTGTAATGTGTATGTGGTGAGGCGTGGGTGTAAATAAATGCTATTCCCCTTCTTTGCTATTCAGTCTCTTCTAATAAGTATCCAAGTATGTTTCAGTCAGTTACCTACTGCTGTAAAATTAGGTCCCTGTTGATTTTCAAGGGTGTGATGAGGTCATGAGTACACATTAAAATCCTCATAAAAAAACTATAAATTTATATATCCACACACATATTTATATATATTCACACACACATAAAATCACTGCTGTTGGAACAAAACCTTGTATCTCCATAATGATAACTTTACAGGAGAAGGAAAAAACCTGCTTTATGTAGGTCAATGGAACCAGACGTTTTTTCGAGCATTTTTGGGCCGTTTCTTTTGGTCTGTTCATCATGAAATTTATACACAATGTAAAGGACCACCATTTTCAACATATGTCAAAAACAGAAAAACAACAAAATGGAGATACAAGGTTTTGTTCTGACAGCAGCGAAATAGAAACAATGCGCAATATTATGTTTTTATGATGGACATTTCAGACCATCAGCACTGCTGTGTCTGATCCACTCAGACCAGCACAACACACACTAACACACCACCACGTCAGTGTTACTGCAGTGCTGAGAATGATCCACCACCCAAATAGTACCTGCTCTGTGAGGGTCCATGGGGGTCCTCACCACTGAAGAACAGGGTAAAAGGGGGCTAACAAAGTATCAGAGAAACAGATGGACTACAGTCTGTAACTGTAGAACTACAAAGTGCACCTATATAGTAAGTGGAGCTGATAAAATGGACAATGAGCGTAGAAACAAGGAGGTGGTCATTACGTTATGTCTGATCGGTGTGATTATTAAAGGGTGTATAATACACTCGCTGTTCAATTTGCAATACAGGTTCAAACTATTCACAACATTGTGAACAGAATTTGAAGTAAGTCAAACGATGACTGCACGTCTACAAACGACACTGTCAGAAGGCCTGTAGCTGAACACTACACTGGTTATGATGAAAAGGGAATTACTGATTATGCAATTTCTGCATAATTTAATATTAAGATGTAAGCAGTCAGACAGTGTTCTGATGTGAGACCCTCCATTCTACAGAGAACAGAGTCAGAACTGTTCACAGTGGTGGTGAGTGGAACCAGAGAAGTGTTTAATGCCTCTAGTGGCGCTTTTTCACCGCATGGTGCGAATCAACTCGGCTCCCTTTTGGTACCAGCTACTTCGTTTTCCACTGCAGACATAGCGCCCCCTCAATGTAGCTGGCTGTCACAGCGACACCACATGAAACTGCAGTGAGGCAAGACAAAAGACTGCTGAAAAAACAGGAGATTTTGGGTAAAACTACATCAGAAGACGAGGCAATTCTGGTTGATCAAAGGCGACACAAAACTCAAACTATCTAGCTACCTAATTAATCATTGCTCCGCCTGTTTTCCCCCCGTTTTGTATTCTAATATTTTATTCTAATGCTGTTTGCTATCCGCTGTGGTCCAGAGGAGGATGGGTTCCCCTTCTGAGTCCTGGTTCCTCTCAGTGTTTCTTCCTCTTACTCTTAGAGAGTTTTCCTTGCCACTGTCGCCATTGGCAACGCTCATGGGGGCTCAGACCCAGATTTTTCTGTAAAGCTGCTTTGTGACGACACCTGTTATAAAAAGCTCTATAGAAATAAACTTTGCCTTGACTTGCAGAGCTAAAACATTAACAGCTATATTGAAGAATGAATACTGTCAGCACTTTTGTTCAACTTTATAGACAGCAGTCAGACAGTAAAAGAAACCATGCAAGTCTATTTGGGTTTATTTTGATTTGATGCTGCTCTAGTAAATAAGTAAATAAATAAACTTTGACTCGACACAGGAGAGAACCCTAAACTACTGGCTAACATTAGTACGTGTGTTTAGGGTGAGAGTGACGATCCTCACTGAACAATCAGTAATCTGCAGTTTTTCACCATCACCTTTTGGTAGCGGCTCAGCTTGCCTGGAACCTCAATGGAGGGGATATCAAAAACAGTACAAAGTACCAGGTTTGCTCAACAGAAAACCAGAAGAGGCGAGTAGAGTCGAGTCCAGTTGAGCTGGTACCATGTAGTGGACAAGTGACTTAAAAGCAAGAACTAAAATGTGCTGGCCGATGCCGGTGACGTCGTTTTACAACAGTTCTGTCAGAAAAGTTTTAGGCCTGAGACACACAGTCGTATAGAAACTGTGAGCACCCCAATTACATGGTGTGTTGATAGCAGATATTATCACATCCTCTACAGGATAAATACGACACTTCTCTGCCAATTTTAGTGCACAATTTCTATTTACCTGCTGAGTTTGACATATTGGAAAAAATGAAAATATAAAATGTGCCTGCGATGGACTGGCGACCTGTCCAGGGTGTATCCTGCCTTCCGCCCAATGACAGCTGGGATAGGCTCCAGCACCCCACCGCGACCCAGAAGGATGAGCGGTTTAGATGATGTATGTATGTATGTATGTATAAAATGTGCCATAACTTTTTCACAGGCCACATTTTCTGTGTTTTTTTTGCCAGTATGTTCAGCAAAGAAACAATAATTGTGCTTTAAAGCATGAAGGAGTTTGTCTCTGTAGAGAATGTGTTAATATACTTTCACTTAGAAAATCAATAAAACCAACTTTTCCATATAACATGGCGTAACGATACATGCAAGGTGGTGTGAAGCAAAATAGTCCCCAAACTGTCTAAATCTGTAAGTTTCTCTACAGTGTACCATTTCACATCAGACCACTCGGAATGACTTCGTTTAAATCTCAACCAATAATTTATACAGAATTTAAAAAACAAAATCTGCAGAATTCCCCTTTAAAGCATTCAATGCAGCTGCATTACATCATATAATTAATAGAAGCAGCCGCTATCGGCCATTTTCACGACGCAGAGCCACGTTTTTGGACTGGAATGTACTGGAATGATGCTACATTACATCTCTAATAATTATACCTATATGTGTAAATGCAGGTCCACTAAAGCCAGTGTGTTTCATCTAATGTCTGATTTAACTAAAGGGGCCCAAAGGAACAGGTGACACAACCAGAGATGCACCACACAGAACCCTAATTAAAGTTCAGTCCCTGCTCAGCTCGTTTTTGTTTTAACTGGTCTACCATTCCCGGTCCAGCTCAATAATAAATACAGTGATCAGGCGTAACGTAATGACCACCTCCTTGTTTCTACGCTCATTGTCCATTTTATCAGCTCCACTTACTGTATAGGTGCACTTTGTAGTTCTACAGTTACAGACTGTAGTCCATCTGTTTCTCTGATACTTTGTTAGCCCCCTTTTACCCTGTTCTTCAGTGGTCAGGACCCCCATGGACCCTCACAGAGCAGGTACTATTTGGGTGGTGGGTCATTCTCAGCACTGCAGTAACACTGACGTGGTGGTGGTGTGTTAGTGTGTGTTGCGCTGGTCTGAGTGGATCAGACACAGCGGTGCTGCTGGAGTTTTTAAACACTGTGTCCACTCACTGTCCACTCTATTAGACACTCCTACCTTGTCAGTCCACCTTGTAGATGTAGAGTCAGAGACGATAGCTCATCTGCTGCTGCAGTTTGTGTTGGTCATCCTGTAGTCCTTCATCAGTGGTCACAGGATGCTGCCCACAGGACGCTGTTGGCTGGATATTTTTGGTTGGTGGACTATTCTCAGTCCAGCAGCGACACTGAGGTGTTTAAAAACTCCAGCAGCACTGCTGTGTCTGATCCACTCAGACCAGCGCAACACACACTAACACAGCACCACCACGTCAGTGTTACTGCAGTGCTGAGAATGATCCACCACCTATATAGTAAGTTGAGCTGAAAAAATGGACAATGACCGTAGAATCAAGGAGGTGCTCATAATGTTACGCCTGATCGGTGTAACTACCGAGTGTAATAAGTGTGTTCAATTAGGTAACAACAAACAGACAGACAGACAGACAGACAGACAGACAGACAGGTAGGTATGATCCCCAGTTAACACCCCAGTATTTAGTATTATGCTGAGTAGGCAGTAATTTCTATAGTGATAACGGCCAAAACACAAAGGCAAGGATTAATTTAGGCTTTTCTACATGTTGATCTTGCAATAAATTAAAAATTCTTAAAATAAAAAAAAAAAAAACTGTTGTGAGTTTCCCTCGTCTCTAAGCAGTCTACAACCGTACAAGTGAGACATGTTTAAAAAAAATAATCATGTTCGATTTACTGAATTCAGTGCAAGAAAAATACAATACAGGTAAGGCATGACTGCAAGTCGAAATCCAAAAAAGTTGGCCATGTGTGCACGGTTGCCAGTTACATGTGTTACACGTGATTATACATACACATTAAGTTTTGTAGTGGCATTCACAACCAAACAACCAAAACGCTTGATTTATTTCAACTACAGTGAACTCAACTGTTGACCAAGAAGGGGAGCCCAGCATATATCGGCAGAAAAATCTTCGGGAAAGGAAAATCGACTGGTTGGTGTTGAGAGAGAGAGAGAGAGAGAGAGAAACTCTGTCCAAGTGAACATTTAACTTTAACCTCTTATACAAAATCCACATGTTTACAGATGTGCAATGCACATGTAAACATGCAAACGGAGATCGTTTAGATGCCACAGATGACCTGCAGGAACCGAGAGCATGATTGAGATTGCCATAAAAAAAAAGTCAGGGTAAAATTCGGCACATCAGATGGTAAAACACTTGCTGAAGGAGCACAACACCAAAATGACTACAGGGAGGCTTGTTCAGTGTCATCCTGGGCATTTCTTTCAAATGAGAGCACATTTTAAGCATCACTTAGCCAATTAACATTGAGGACATTATTTACTTGCAGAATGTGAGCATGTTAGATACAAAAATATAAACATTTGAGACCCTGGCTGATCAGCGTTTTTCTTGCCATAATTTCATGGACAATGATAAAATGACAACGGTGACTCTGTTCGTCTAATTTCACACATATACACCGAACTCTGCCTGCTGTACTTTTGAGGGGATATCTGAAAACGTGTTACAAAAACCCGCAGGTTGAAGAGTAAATAACGATTAGAATGTTGCTGTAATTACCAGGCTACACCATCCTATTCCTCATTGTGTTCTGCAGTGTAATTTGGGCTCTAGCCCATGAGGTGGAGCTAGAGAGGGAGAGGTGGGGTGAAGGGTTACATCAGCGTCTCTTTGTGATGCCGCATTATGTGCTGGTTCTTTTCGGAGGGTCGTCTGAAACCCTTCTTGCAGTAGTCGCACCTGTGCGGATAGTCCTTAGTGTGGATGGAAATGACGTGGCGTTTGAAACCCGAAGCGTCCGCCGTGTTATACTCACAGTACTGGCACTGGTAGACTTTGCGGCCACTGTGCGTTTTCATGTGTTTCTTGAGTTCGGTCTGCTGCCTGAAGCCTCGCTTGCAGCGTTTGCACTTAAAAGGCAGGTCCTTGGTGTGTACGGAGAGGATGTGCCGGCTCAGAGTGAAAGGGTCCGAGATTTTGAAGTCACAGTGCCGGCACTGGTGCACTTTGTTTCCCTTGTGCGTCTCGGAGTGTTTCTTGAGTTCCGAAGGCCTGTGGAAGCCTTTCTCGCACACGTCGCACTTGTGCGGGAAGTCCTTGGTGTGCACGGAGATGATGTGGCGCTTCAAGTCACTGGAGTTGGTGCTCTTGTGCTCGCAGTGCGGACACTGGTGAGTCTTGTGGCCCTGGAAGATCTCCATGTGCCTCTGCAGCTCCTTGTCGTCGGCAAACGCCTGCGGGCAGTGGCCGCACTTGAAGGGCAAATCGGTGCCGTGTTTGCTTTTTATGTGAGTCTTTAGGTTGGACTGGTCAGCACAGCGGAAATCGCAGTGCTGGCAGTGGTAGGGCTTTTCGCCTGTGTGCGTCCTCATGTGCTTCTTGAGCTCGGACGGGTGGCGAAAGCCCTTGGCGCACTCCACGCACACGTGGGCAAAGTTTTTGCTGTGCACGGCCAACAGGTGCCGATTTAGCAGGCCCTGCTCCGCTGTCTCGTATTCGCAGTATTTGCACTTGTGGAGTTTGGGGTCCTTGTCACGCAGGATAAGCTTGTTGGGACTGAGGGGGCTAGCCTCCCGGTAGTGCCGCGTGTACTCCGTGTACTCGGGGATCTTCTCGTTCTTGATGATGAGCTTGTGGCTTTCCATGTGGTTGTGGAAGCTCACCTTCTTGTTGGTGGTGAAGTCACAGTCTGTGCATTGGTACTTCTTCTTGAACATATGATCCGGGTGGTTCTTCATGTGGCGCTTTAGAAACCCCCGTGACTTGAACTTCTTCCCGCAAATGTGGCAAGGATAGACGGTCAGCGGCTGGCCGTCCGGGCCGATAATCACAGCTGAAACAGAGGATTATTTGCTTTAACATCTGCATACAGAAAAACACGGTTCATAAAAAGACTGTCCACTGAAACTCGACAACTCGTACCAGTCTGGCACTGACGAGTCTCTCCCTTCCTCTTCTTCTTGATCTTCTGTTTGAGAGCTCGGCTCGTGCTGATGCTGTCAGTGATCTGCAGGTAGGGAGTGGCTGCTCCGTTCTTACTCTCTAATCGAGACTCCAAATTGTTACCTATGTTGAAACAGCAGTTCAAACATTTGCACTAATTATGAAAAGGCAGGTCACAGAGCAGGAGTGAGGAAACATTCAGTTTCAACTGTGAACTCACCGATCAGGCATAACATTATGACCACCTCCTTGTTTCTATGCTCACTGTACATTATCAGCTCCTATATAGGTATACAGGATACTATATAGGTGCACTTTGTAGTTCTACAGTTACAGACTGTAGTCCATCTGTTTCTCTGATACTTTGTTAGCCCCCTTTTACCCTGTTCTTCAGTGGTCAGGACCCCCATGGACCCTCACAGAGCAGGTACTATTTGAGTGTCTATTAGACACTCCTACCTTGTCGGTCCACCTTGTAGATGTAAAGTCAGAGACGATAGCTCATCTGCTGCTGCACAGTTTGTGTTGGTCATCCTCTAGTCCATCAGTGGTCACAGGACGCTGCACACAGGACGCTGTTGGCTGGATGTTTTTGGTTGGTGGACTATTCTCAGTCCAGCAGTGACACTGAGGTGTTTAAAAACTCCAGCAGCACTGCTGTGTCTGATCCACTCAGACCAGCACAACACACACTAACACACCACCACCACGTCAGTGTTACTGCAGTGCTGAGAATGACCCACCACCCAAATAGTACCTGCTCTGTGAGGGTCCATGGGGGTCCTGACCACTGAAGAACAGGGGAAAAGGGGGCTAAGAAAGTATCAGAGAAACAGATGGACTACAGTCTGTAACTGTAGAACTACAAAGTGCACCTATATAGTAAGTGGAGCTGATAAAATGGACAATGAGCGTAGAAACAAGGAGGTGGTCATAATGTTATGCCTGATCTGTGTACTTCCTTAAGACTACATGCAAAAATTACATACCATAAGCAGCAGCCCACGCCACAGGAACAAACGTCTTATTAGACGGGGAATCCTCCAACTGCGCTTCCTGGATGGCAGGAGCCTCATCCTCCCCAACAATCACCTCCATGTACACCTGGTCAGTCATCTCAGACACATCTATGTACAGAACATACAGCATTTTTAGATATGGTCTAACTTACTACTCAGTAAACATTTGAGTTTTACAATTACAAAGCAGAATTTTTTTTTAGCATATCAGTCCCCAAAATACATTATTTTTAAACATGACGGCAACAATGAACTACACACCTACAAGTACCGACTATTTTTATACTATGAAATGTACAGGCTGCTGAAACTGCAGAAACCCTCCGACACTGTAGAGGTTTGCAAGAACATGGGAAACGCTACGAGCTGAACGGTCTACCAGTCTACAAACATGCCTTGTTATTACCAGGCGCTCTATGGCTACACCATCTCCCTCGCTTTAACTCACTGATGTCCTCGTCTCCTTGGCTGGCGTCCTTCACTGCCATGTATACCATCTTCTCCCTGGGTATTCGGACCGTGCTTGCTGGCTCCAATACTGCATGCCCATTGGGGAAATCACTCTCTGCCACCACCTCTGTTCCACCTACACCAACAAAAAAAAACAGTCAAGGAGGGTTTCTGGTTTTCTGGTTCTGGTACTTGAAGTGGGGAACATGCAAAACCTAAAAAAAACTTCAAACAGTGTGTTTCAATTCCAACTATATTAGCAGAAGAAGAATATATACATATAGATAGATAGGTAGATAAATAGATAGATAGATAGATGGATTCAACTTTATCATTGCTCAGTACAAGGCAACAAAATACAGTTAGCATCTACCACAAGTGCAAATAATAGCGATAGTGCAAAACAGACAAATGTGCAATAACAGGCATAAATATGATGTATCTATTAAATATATAACTACATGAACAATATATACACAATTATAAATATATCTATGAATATGTACATGTATATATACACAATACTATAAATACAATATATATATACACGCTATGTTACGTACTGTTTGAGTAAGCAGTTATGAGTTGTATATAACAGTACAATTCAGAATATATAATCTGCTGTTGTTCCCAAGCATTAGTACCAAAGATATTAATGTATTCTTTTTGTGTTGTTCTCTGACAGACCATTTAACTGTGCCAAAACTAGCTAAAAGCATCAATCTGCCTTCGGATTTGTCATATTTTTAAAAAACGGTCACCTATTTCCACATCTTCATCCCCTTCAGCCTTAAAGATGTACACTTTGATGACCTCAGAACCAAACTCATCCTCCTTGGATCCATCGTCATCTTGGCCCACCTCCGCACTGATCTTTAATGGGGTGTCACCGATATCCAGCTTCTCTCCCACATCATCCACTGCAAGGTGAGGGAAAATTCAATTTGTGACTGTACTACCAGGTGCATCTGGCATTGTGCTCTACAGAACTATGTACTGTTGCTACAGCAGACCCACAATAAAATCCACAGATTATCTAATGAATTTATCATAATAAGGTCTCTGGCAACACCACTTATGTTAGACCTATAACGAAACAAAACTGCAAACAAACTGACCCACAAAACTAAGCCAGGCATTTGTATAAGGTTAGAATTCACTAACATGAGATCATGAGGTAGTCTTCAGATGTGCTCTTGCCATCCTCATCATCATCCTCGTTCTTCAGGGTAACGCTAGTAGGCATGGTCTCATGAGCCTGAATGACGGCCTCTGCATCGGTGACCATCACCTCCTCTGATACCAGCTCATGGTCCAGAGGACCGTCCTCATGCGCAGACATGAGGTCGGCCACGAAAACCTGGTCAGGTACCGTCTCCTCGATCAAGTCAGCAGTCAGGACATGATGGTCTGCATCCAGAGCCTCCTCGATGGCTACCTCGGCCCCCAAAATGGATTCAGACATGATGACGCCCTCTGCGGTGATAACATCTTCATGGCCAATGTCAGGCCCTTCGACCACTTCGGCCTCCAGGCCATGCTCCAACAGGATGCCCTCATCAGTAACCACATCCGATACCGACACTGCCTCGGGCACGGACACCACAATGTGCTCACCGTCTATGTGTGCCATGCCCCCGATCCCTGCAACTGTGGAGACAGACAACACGAGGCAGGGACAAAAAGACTCAGAACCAGCCAGGCAAATCACAGAATAGGCAACATGATGGGCTGGATGCAGAGTGAATATGCATCACACATCAAATAAGACATTAGAGATGCACATTAACATGTTTTATGATATGTTATGATAATACTACGAGTAATCACTATAAGTAGATTATTGCTTAAAGCAACTACTTCTCAGTGAAAACGGCAAACTACCACTTTGCAGCTTACCATAAGCATTTTGCCAGCCTGTGCAAAATAATTAGCTTTCACAACCTTCCCTTACCGAAATCTTGCATTATCATTGTGTGGGGCATTTTCAAATCCTGGGAGTGAAGCTCCAAGACCCCTCCACCTTGATCCATTTTTATGACTTCTCACGATGCTACATTCACCAGGGGAAAAAATGAAAGGAAAATAGAACATATTAAATAAAGCAACACAGAAGAATTCAGTTATTTCTAACAATACATGTGAGTGACATAAATAAACGTTATTAAAACCTAACAACAAGGACAAACTCGAGTTATTTTCAAAACTATAGAGTTAATAATTAGGTGAAAATGCACAAATATCCATTGCAGAATGCGATTTATCAGGCGTACCAGCCAGCATACCTTCACATTTGATGATTGTTTGTTTAATTCTTGTGAAAGTGCCAAATACGAAGCAACACTGTACTTGTGTCATCTGGGAGGCAGATTTCTGTAAAAGAGAAGAGGCCATCAGTGCAGGACCAATGACTGTATTATGTATTGCAAATGAAATACACCAGTTTTCCCTGTATTATCAGACACAGTAGTGGTCATAAAGTGCTGAACTCTACTGAACTAAGCAAGCAGTGAACTGAAAGGCGGTATATGTGCAGGTTTTTGGTCATTTAGGTAGTGGCGAGTCATGTCGACTGGACTGGTGCTCATAGAGAGTAAACCAGTCGCTTTGACTACTAAACAATTTAAATAGTCTGGCCGGCCAGTGCAGGTTAAACAAAGCCTGTGTATAAATGAAGTGCAACTGTATAAACGTACAGATGGCAGTGAAAGCTGTTTACTCCTCGCCACAAAGTCGTTTCAAACAGTGTGGAGGGAATTTCCAAAATGACGTAACGTCTCCGCCTCCGGTAAACACGGGACATTTTTCCAACTCGCCAAAAAGAAGCGGTTTTCGCAAATCTCACATCATTCACAAACCCACAGAACCGAACGAACGAGTTACTGCTTTAACTTCTGTGTAATTATTCACGAAAACCAGTTTGTTTATTTATTTCCCTCCTCTGGTCGTGCCGGTGTCTTCCCACAGCGTGCAGCGCAAATCACAGGAGATGGGAGGTTCGACTCAGTTTTGGCGAATCGATTCTTTCGAACAGTTCGTTCCAATGAATCGAATGTCTGATTCAAGTCGACTTCAGCCGCACCTCCTCCAGGTAAAACGAGACTCGGCTCAGTGAGCGAGTCCGACGTCGCTGCTTATTTTTAGGCTGATAGAGACAGACTGGATGCAAAAACTGCAAACACATAACAGTAAAGTCGACCGCCGACTACAGAGAGAAAGTGACAGCGAATTCAAAGATGTGTTTTCAGTGTACCAGGTACAGTGTTCATCTATAACTTAATGAGATTACGCTGTGAATAAATAAACACATTCACATTTTATTAAAGACCTTCAACCTACAACACGGGTATAAACACTGCGTAGCCCAGCGTTCCTGGACCCGGAGTCCCCGTGGCTGCACATTTTAGCGTTTTTCCTGATCAGTGCGTTAACACGCCTTTCACGGGTCGAGTATGAACACTAAAAGTGCGAACGAGGGGCGAAACCTGTGGCGTAAACAGTACAAACAGGCTGATTCAGCTGCGATTCGGCTCGATCGGCATACTGAAAAAGAACCGGCTCACATGAACGATTCGTTCATGAGTCGGACACCGCTAGAATCATGGCCATTGCGTGCGCGCGCGCCCCAACGCGGAGCCGTAGCTCGCCGTGACGTGATCGGGTCTGTGGGGTTAACGCAAAATTAACCGTCTTTGCTGTCGTTTTTTCCTTCTTCCTCTACAACCGAGTCACCGGCGCTCCTCAGAGTCGAACGCCGAGCCGGGACCCCCGAGCGCTGCCGCCCAGAAGGAGAGCAGCTGCGGAGCGGAACGCGCCGCGGCCGCGGCCGACATCTTGTGTTCCGCCATCTTAGTTAGCATCGGCGGCGCTAAGAAGCTCGGCCGCTCGGTGCGACGGTCGGCGCAAAACACTACAAAACCCACTTCCACAACCGCTTTTCCAGCCTGTGGTCATCCGAGCCTCACATATGTCGCCTACGCGCCATATTCGCCGCTCACTCGGGCTCTCCGAGCTGAAGGCGAGCCCCCCTCTTCCCTTCCCTGAGCTCCGTCCCGCCGGGCTCGGCGAGGCCCGCGCAGGCCGTGCGGGCCCGCGGCTCGAGTTTTCGTGCCATTCCGACGTCGGCAGAGATGTTTCGTTACCTGGTCGCAGGCTCCCTCGGGCGTGTTCGGCGAGCCTCCGGGGCTGGCGAATGTCTGTCGGGCGGTTTTGCTTTATTTTGCCGCGGTTGCGCCGCCGCGGCCTGTACATCCTCTGAATCCCCGAGCAATGTTTTTTTCCAGGCCTGCCTCGGCCAATCAGGCTGCGCGCTCACGGCGGAGGGGGGAGGGGGGGAGACAATGCGCGCGGCCTGAGCCCTGTCTGTTTACGTCACTTCATAGAGAATCACAGCGAGAGCCACGAGCCGCTGCAACTGATCGAACTTCTGATTTGCCGGTTTCAGCTTCGACTAAAATGCGTTTTTTGCAGGTTTAAAATGTTTAAGAACACCAAGCATCATTCAGCTTCCCCACACAGCAGTCTCAGAAACAGGTGGGCTTCAGAGCCCAGTGATGCTGGCAGGTTTGCTCCCAAATATACACAATTTTATAAACTAATATTTGACTTATGTGACTATAATAATAGAGTACATCACTAAACACACTGATGAAAGCATCTGGTTAGTTATACTGTTAAATGTAGACCTGTTTACCTCACTTTCTTACTTTTTTAACGTTTCCCCTGCATTTAGCTTCAAATCAGTGCCACTCAGGACACAATACCTAAAATATGAATGATTTAGGTAGCTTGTAAATATGGACTTGTTATATCTAATATTCCCAAAATATGATTTATTGCCATCATAACATGCAGAACATATAGCCATGCTTGATCTGCATGTATGTTTATTGAAAGTCCGTTACAATTACAGGTCCCGGTTTCCTGAGTCGGGCTATTTGAAGCCGTGCTCAGATAATCTCTAGTGTATTTTGCATACTGTTACTCCTTGATGATACAGGCATTCAAAAAATCTTTATTCAGACATACCCAGCGGGCAGTAGTGAAAAGAGCACAGGAACATAACTCCAAACACACTTTGAACCAAGAAGTCTTTGTACAGCAGTACCTTGGCACAGAGACATGACATCGATTTTTATAGCAAAATGTTTTCTTCTTTTTCAGATCACTCTTAGAGAGGAAAGAGGACTCAGATATTGCATTGTTGTGCCTCGAAAATGCAAGACAGGTATCCTTCTTGGCAGAGTACAACGCTTCACGCCCCAACTGAATAAAGTTTCCCACAGTTTGAAACAGTCCGTATGGAAACCATACACTTTTTTTTAATTTCCTGGAAGAACAAATACACAGCATTCACTTCAAGTTATTGGGGGGAAAAAAAGGGTCTAGGAACTCAATTCCAGACTTAGTAGTTAAAACAACGTAACGGATGTTCCATGTTATTACGAGACAACATACACTAAAATGCCTATTGTTCCAGCAGCTTCTCCAGTTATCATAAAAATAAAGCAGATCGACCATTTAAAAACAAAAATAATCACAACTTATTTAACAGTCTGTAGAAGCAAACTGTAATCTTGCAGTTGTTGCGTCATCTTTCCTCTGGCTAGCGTGGCAGTGGGGTAAGAGGATTCATGCTGTGGTAAAACGTTCTGGGCTTAGTGTGTTAGTGTCCTTCTGGTTCTTAGGGGGATCCATTCTGCCGTGTTATCAGAGGCAGCGGTGACTTGATTTTGATGTTTTCTAGGAAAGAGTGAGGGAGAACGGTGGAGGCCTCAGTAACAGCCATCCTTCCAGGAATCGTCTGCGATCGGAGCACAGGTCTTCGTCATTCCCAGAGACCGACTGTAAAAAGATGTTAGAGCAATAGTCGATTACACTTTTATTTACTGCTGAAAATAATTTAGGAAAAACAGCTAAAATCAGAGGCAGATTTTAGCTTATTTCAACTAGTGATGCAACAACACTATCAATTCTGATACTGTCAATCGGACATGACTGATCCACTTTCAATACTGTTCCTTAGCCATGCTCTTCATAAAATGAGTGTAATTTTATAAACCTTCTAGTTTAGTTTAATTATCAGTGTAAGTAATAATTTGGACAATCCTAAAAATAATGTTACTACAGGGAGATTCACTCGAAAGAGGCCCCGAATATTCTGTAATAACTCTCTCTAGGATGAAGCAATCTGGACGAAACTACGTGCAATGAGCTCCTGAGTATATGGAGCTTCAAACAACCCAGGATGCCCCTACATCGGAGCGATGAAGTACACGACAGTGTTCAGGCAAGTAACGTTCAGGAACACGGAGCGCCGCATCGAAATGTGTGACAGAACAGAGATTTGCATGTAATGCAATCGATTACACATACGTCAAGATAAGTAGCGTATTTTTTGGTTCAGACTGCTTCATCCTAACGGGAGCTACAACAGAATATTCGGGGCCTCTTTCGAGTGAATCTCCCTGTATGTGACCTTGTGTCCACTAAGGTGCATGAGCCTCTGGTGTATATTTATGTTTACTTGCAAAGGTATGACTCCACCTGAACCACGGTACAGTTTGCTGTCTCAGAATATATTTCTGACGAGATCTGTAAAGTCTATGTTTTGCTTGCATTTGCTATTAAAAATATTCTGTGTGAAGATAAATTAGAAGATTAAATGTACTTGCATGTGTATCATCATTTTTCTCACAGTTTTGCTAAAATTAGTAAGAAACAAACATTTCCCCACCTACCAGTGTGAGCACTGCAAAGAGAGACACTATGGTGTCCATTTTACTGTATGTTTTGTTTGGGGAAGATGGGGAGGAGCCTCCCTGAAGAACCGTATCAATTTACTGTAAATTTAATCCACATTTGTGCACGAGTTTAGCATGTACACATAGACCAACACACAGTTGGAGGAAACTGTCATCTGATTTTTACAGAATGTATAATTTGTGTTAGGGATGCAGCGATACTGATACTGCTAAAGGTCCGATACCATGCTTATTCACTCATACACCGATACCAACATTCCGAGAGCCGCTGTGACGTAAGCAGAGTCACTGCCCTGCTAACGAACAAACGCAGTAATGGTTTACAAAGGCTGCGTTCACACAGCAGGTAAAAGTGGCCCAAATCTGATTTTCTCACCAAATCTGATTCTTTTGTTTGTCTATTCAAACTATCTTTTAAATGTGATCTGTATGGGTCATCAGTCTGAACAGATCAGCTCCTAAACTGACCCACATGAGCAAAAGGTCAGAGCGTCACGCTGCTTCACGGCTCATCCAGAGGTAAACAATCACGACTGCTAACGAACGCCAGTCGCTCCCGGAGGATCAGCTTCATCTTCACCAGCATCTCAGGAGCCATCATGAAGCTGCACTGACTGACAGCTGGGCTCATCACCCAGAATGTGTTGGAGACGTAAAAAGGGCGCGGTCACTTCTTTGATTCGCCTCGTTCTCCTGCGGCCGCGTTCGGACATTTCTTTAGAAACCTCTTCAAACACGGAGGGTTCTGGATGAGTGTCTTCTAATTTTTTAGCACAGAAACATCAGCCTAAATGTCTCAGCAGCGCGAAATTATGTTAAATGTCGAGTTGGATTGACGTAAAAGTCGTGTGAATTCCGATCTGGCCGTTCAGATCGAGTCGCATTGCTGCAGATTGGATACGGATCGGATTTCAGTACCACATATGAAAGAGTCTTAAATCGGAGTGTCACACATGAGGAAAAAGATCAGATTTGGGCCACTTTTACCTGCTGAGTGAATGTAGCCAAAGAGACGTTTTACTGACCCCGAGACAGTCGGACACAGCGTCACTGGTCACTTTAAATATTCTGCCTTTGCAGAATCTCCCCAGGAATACACTAATAAATTTTAGCTTGTTTTAAAAACACGCACACACACTCGCACACACACTCGCACACACACTCGCACACACACTCGCACACACACTCGCAACTGCTTCCCCAATACGTTTGGAGACACTAAACAGAGGAGAAAATTTGAAAAGTTGACCTTTCTTACGAAAGTCCGTCTTCGCCAACTTTACTCTGCTTGACTGAATATAACCGTGAAGTATAAACGCCAATATGGTGATTTTGTCTGACATCAGCTGCTTTTAGCTTCTGAGCTCAGTCAAGATTTTAAATCTAAAACGTCTGGTGTTTAGAGGACATTCAACTACAACTCAACCAGACAACATAATATTCCCAACAAGACGTAAAACTCAAAACGTGAGCTCATCAGATGCGTCAGCCTCGTTCTTGGTCTGAAAAAGTGGTATCGATGCATCCCTAAGTACAATAAAAAATCTTAAATCTTTTAAATTAAACAATTTATATTGGACAGTTTGTGTTTATAATTTATTTTTTTAATACTTCTAGCAAAACTCCTTAGTGAAACTGTAGTGAGCAACTCTGTCTTTATGATGAAAATATAATATCTAATAGCTTTGGGTATGCTAAGCATGCTATGGGGGCATTTTGCCCCTTGTAAGGGGTGGGGGGGTGGGGTAATGGCAATGACCCACTGTAACATTAAAACATTAAAACTACACAGAACACATCTAAAAAGTATAAATCTGAGTTGAACAAATTGTTGTTTTAACAGAAGCAGCAAATAAAAGGTTTGTATTTATTATAATTTATATTTTAATGTTCGATAAAGGAAATAGTTTAGTCTAAAAGTTATGATTCACTGTCCTTTAATATGTGATTTTTAATTTAGTCAGTTTATTATCATTATGAAAAACAAGCTAAAAATAATATATAGGCTAAAGATAGTAAAAGCAGTGGGAACAGGACGCTTCAGTTCCCCATTTCAGAGAAGTCTTTTAGGAAGACATTCTTTTCCAAGCAGACAAACTGTAAAATCCCTAATCATTGCTGGCTTTGCGTACAACAAACTAAACAACTTCTGGGCACTTTGTACATCGCGAGGCTCTTTGTTTACAAATACGAACAGCTCATGAATAATTGACTGGGGTGAGTGATGGCAAAAATATGACATCACGATACTTCAAGATATTTTCACGATACACGACATGTAGCATAATTTTTAGGTTTGATAGGCTGGAACAGAAAAACTGCCACATTTAAAAATACTATTAAAAACTATGAACACAGTGACTTATGTTGAATGTTTTACTCGCTCTAAACACAATTTAACAGAACTAATTATGCTCTCCTTGTAAATGATCGATGAAACATGCAGTTAATCAGTGTTTAACTACTGATAATATTCATGATATGCTCAGAAAGCCATATTGCAGCATAATGCATCATAATGATAAAATATTGTCATATATACACGCAGACACGTGTCTATCGTGTGCGATTGATCTTTTTTGTATTCGCACAGGATTCATTTTTCAAGCATGTGCAACAATCACATTGTGAGTTCAGATATCAGAAGCAGTATTTAGGGAAAAAGATTTACTCTGTTCATTTCTAGTGTGTATGTGAGAGTTAATAGTTAACAGTTACCTCCTTGGGGCCTGGGCAAGCCTGCCTCTGGAGGAAGGTGTTGCAGGTGCCACGCCTCTGCCTGGAGTTTGCTTGGGCCCAATGGCAGCAGTCCTACATGCTGCGTAAGCTCCTCCGTTCGCAGGCCCCGGAGACTGCACTCTCCGCACTCCTGCCGCAGGACTTCCCTGAGTTCCGGGGGGCCCTTTCGCATTTTGTCGAACTGCAGCCATGGAGCCCACTGGGCTGAGAGCTTTCATGGGAGCCCGCAAGGAGAGGGGTGACTGGCCACTGCCTCTCATTCGGCTAGAGGATACACCTATGGGAGCAGGCAGTTACTAACAGCTTTAGTGGAGGTTACTGAGTGAATAGAAACATTTGAAAGACCCAGTCAGTGTGATTTGAATAGTAGTTCAAACGTGCAAAGCTGCCATAAACATATAAAGTAGCTAAAGCAACACTTTTAAATTTTATTTATTGGTTTGAACAGAATAATCACGATCTATCCTCATTAAGGCATAAATCAGTTTAGATATAAAAACATCCTGACTGAGGCCTTCATCCCTACAAAAACATCATATAATCTTTTAATGAAGCACTGCTGTGAAAGTTATAATAAACAATTGCACAAAAACAAAATACATTCAGCAAAATTCAGTTTCAAAATGATCCATTAGATGGCGCCAGATCACCTGTAAATATGATCTTGGTCTCACACTTTCTCCCTCTCTTATTTCTCTCCCTGCAGTGTGTCATACAAAGCCAGTGTAATTTCAGATTTAGCCTGAAGTTGAGTGGTATTTCAAATAAGCTGCAGATAAATGTAGTGCATGATATTCAGGCTAGAAACAAAAAGGGCAGGTGGCAATAAGGCAGGTGGGTATTAGTAGAATCCAGTGGCATCTTTTGGGAATTGGAGAACAGGTCTATGGTGGAAGAAGAAGAGGAAAAAAAAAAAACCAAAAAAACCAAAAAGCTCCTCTGAAAAAGTATTTATTTGTCACCACACCGGCATAAAGAAATTCACGGTGAAAGCCTGTACTCACCCAGTTAAAGGCATGGGTATTGGTGTTTCCAAGGGAGTGAGGTGAGGGTAGAGAATGGTCCACCTAACCTGAGGGATTAGGGGTGAGACCAGGTGAGGGTGAGACAGCGGGGTGGGGGTACCGACCTGTGGGGGACTGGGGCAGGCGGGACATGCGGTTGCCTGAACTTTGCAGGTTAGCCTCCATGCTGCGGCTGTTTCTGACTGCCTCCAAGGAACGAAGGCTTGTGCGCGGGGCCAAGTTAGGCATGCTGTGCCTTAACTCCTCTGAAATCCACACACAAACACAGAGTCTGCTTTACACACACACACACACAAACACAGAGTCTGCTTTACACACACACACACAAACACAGAGTCTGCTTTACACACACACACACACACACAAACACAGAGTCTGCTTTACACACACACACAAACACAGAGTCTGCTTTACACACACACACACACACAAACACAGAGTCTGCTTTACACACACACACAAACACAGAGTCTGCTTTACACACACACACAAACACAGAGTCTGCTTTACACACACACACAAACACAGAGTCTGCTTTACACACACACACAAACACAGAGTCTGCTTTACACACACACACACACACAAACACAGAGTCTGCTTTACACACACACACAAACACAGAGTCTGCTTTACACACACACACACACACACAAACACAGAGTCTGCTTTACACACACACACAAACACAGAGTCTGCTTTACACACACACACACTGAAAATATCACCACTCATTTAAGGTCTAAAAGGAGAACGGCTACATGCACAGCCTTTTCCTTTCCATGAGAGAGCAGAGCTGAAAGGCAGTAAGTTAAGTGCTGCAATGACAGATCACATTTCAAATGAAAACACATGCCGTGCCAGAGCGACACTGAATGTAGCATAATAACAAGTGTATCTGTGCGCTGGGCTCAAACCGGCTCTTTTCAGCAAATAAACTTTACCATTACACTAAACCAGTGGTTGTGAAATGGGTGCTCAGGGTCCAGCTCACAGAACAGTCCATCTGGAGGCCCCGAAGTCTGCTTTGAGAACACTAAATGGTCAATTACTAAACACACATTCTCAGCTCAAAGACTACATTATCCTGAACTACTAGTTTGTAAAAATGCTTCAAACTTCATGATTATTCTCAGTTTTCAATTTAAGGTGTGATGCAGTAATGGTTACTGTCACAACGAACCTGTGTCACGTTAAAAAGAGCTTTTTATAGAATTAAATTTGTTCTTTTTTTTGTTATTTTAGGTCTGCACAGAAAATACTAATGTGCAGTTGTGATGTAAGTAGACATTAGTATTTCATTATTTTTATTTTGCACAGTAGAGACTAATGCGGCTGTCATAATCATAACATTTCAGCTGATAACTGATTGTTGGGCATTTTAGAGCTCCAAGTTTTCATGAATCCCTCATGATGTGCCTCAATGAATGCATTTACTGTTTTTTTTTCCACCTTTGTCCAGAGCGACTTACAATTAGATCACTTTACACAGGTAGGTGAAGGTAGCATTAGGAGTCTTGCCCAAGAACTCTTATTGGTATAGTGTAGAACCCTAGTCTGACCCCAGACTGAACCCCAGTCTAAAGCATAGAAGGCAGAGATGTTACCCCCGACACTACACCAACCACCTGCATCTAAAATAACTGACTACATTACTGGGCTATTAAGTAACTACAGTGACAGCCCTAGTGACGGGTGCTTTTGTGTATTTTTTGCTAGTTGCTTAAAGGGCAGTCATGGGCTGGAGGTTAGGGAACCAGCCTTTACTGTATGCCTGCCTGTACATGTAATCATCTTATGTCAATCTATTTTAGAGGCTCTAGGTTACCTTTTGTCATGCCAGTATTTTTAGACCACACTTTTTGATACTGAACATTTTATTTTGAAATACAAAAAATATTATACATTCCAAAAAAGATTATTTATCTGCATCAACGTTTTTCTTATTTTTAAAACTCACATTAAAAGACTGCCATGTACTGTATGTCATAACTGACTTGTAACAATCATAGATAATATATTTAATATGGCAAATAAATTATAGTCATTATATGTACTCAGTGTGATGTGTGTGTATCTTATGCTATTTGTTTGTCTTTTACTTTGATGGATAGAAGCATAAGTGATGTTTTGATGCCAAAAGCGTTTATAAGCAGGGCGCGTTCCTTTTTTCAAAACAGTGTTTTTGCACAATCTTCAGTTACACCTTCAGCAATAAGAGAGGTCAGGGAACCAGCCTTGTGACCAGAAGGTTGCTGGTTCGATCCCCTGAGCCGACAGTATGTGACTGAGGTGCCCTTGAGCAAAACACCTAACCCCTAGCTGCTCCCCGGGCGCTGTGGATAGGGCTGCCAACCACTCCAGGCAAGTGTGCTCACTGCCCCCTAGTGTGTGTGTTCACTAGTGTGTATGTGGTGTTTCACTGCACAGATGGGTCAATTGAGGAGGTGAAATTTCCCTGTTGTGGGACTAATAAAGGTCACTTAATCTAAAAGGAGAGGTAAGTTACATTTTTGTTTACACAGAAAGTGCAGCACAATCAGAGGCGCTGCATTTTACTCGTTATCTCGACTCATATAGTCACTGTGATCTCACAGCTTTATCAAACGTCACATTATGTCCACTTTGTGCAGCCCTGCTGCAGACACGGAAACTAAATGGCTACTGTGCTTCACAAGTTTCTTCTGTGCATCATAATAGACTCAGTATGAATGTAGCTACAAACACATGTGGAGACAAATTTCATGATGCGTTTTGTATTCAGAGTGTTCATTCAGGAAATGAAATCCTGACGCTAAGTCTTTGTGAACGCAGGACTCTTTATGAAATAGGTCAATATAACAGTTCTAAGTATTACACCTGGATAAATCCAGCCCACAGAAACCTCTAATTTGTGCCAACTGATCCAGCTTGTTATACTACATAATCCACATACAAACAAACCTGTATGATCTGTAAACACGGCAGTTCCGGTACACAAAACCTGGATCTGCAGGAAGGCCTCAGAACATCTTAACAATTAGAAATTTTAGCTCCACTGCACAAAGCTTAAATGACAAACATCTTACAGGTGGTAGTGTTTATCTCAAAGATATAGAAGCAGATAATAACAATGGCTTTTTTCCAACAATGAATAATGCATCACTGATAGGAGGCACAGTTAAACTAAGTGCTGATGGTCAATCAATTATCTAATCACCAGATTTAGCTGTTTGGCTAGATAGAAAACATCACAGTTAGCTCACTCGAAAGGCAGAGGACATGGATTTTTTTTTTAATATTATTAATTCACTTTTCAAGTCAATAATCAAGTCTTTTAGCTCTATTAGCTGTGAAAGTCATCAACATATTGTTAAATCAGAAGTATTACCAAACATCACTGAAATGACAGTAAACATTCTACAATTTCTCGTACACGTGCACAATACCAGCGAATCACAGGCTCCTGCAGTACTGGAGAAAACTTCTAAGAAGGCTGCGCTTTCTAAACCACTGGTTAAGAGATGCTCACGCCAGCATCTCTACCATCCACACCACAAACCACAATAAAGAACGAAGCAGTGCTGGTGTAGTTGGTGCCCCAACCAACAGAACAGCAGGAACAAACATGCGCAGACACACTTGGTTAAATACTGACTATACTTTCACAAACTCTAAGACCAGAGTCTCCACTGAGCCTGGCAGTTGGGCGTTTTCTCTATTAGGGTAATTTAATGTGGTTCCAGTGTTATGATGCCAGTTCAATGCGTAGCAATGTCAGCTTGCACGATGCATTATTTGTATTTTGACTCTTTAAAAATCGCAATTCAGAGAATCCAGGGATTTTCGGGGGTGCAGGGGGAGTGGCGGGCCTATACCTATCGGTGTAAACATACTGTTTAACATAGGGTGCAATACAGTGTGTATATATATACACACCCATCAGGCAGAACATTACATTACAACATCCTTGTTTCTGCGCTCATTGTCCATTTTATCAGCTCCACTTACTATACAGGTGCACTTTGTAGTTCTACAGTTACAGACTGTAGTCCATCTGTTTCTCTGATACTTTGTTAGCCCCCTTTTACCCTGTTCTTCAGTGGTCAGGACCCCCATGGACCCTCACAGAGCAGGTACTATTTGGGTGGTGGGTCATTCTCAGCACTGCAGCAACACTGACGTGGTGGTGGTGTGTTAGTGTGTGTTGTGCTGGTCTGAGTGGATCAGACACAGCAGTGCCGCTGCAGTACTGTTTTATATGCTATATTTATTTACTATAATGCTATAATTCTAGTGATAATGCTAAATTTCATCAGACCATCAATGAGCAATTCTATGTAGTTTTAGCATCAAACTAACAACTGTGTCTGTTAGTGTTTTTTTGTTCTACCAAAACCACGGACAACTAAAATAACAGACATTTTGCAACATTTTCGTGCTTTACATGTTGGGTCTTAGTCTCTCTACAGTAGCACCGTTCACAGACTACAGTCGAGTCTTCAGCAATTATGATGATGTCTCATTTAAACCTTTCAGACTCAAATTATGTTCCAGGGCACAACAAATATTCCTATTCTAAAGGCATAAATGAACCAAAGGTTAAGGATTATTTACAGATACTGTTTGCTAGCTATTTCTGATGCTTGTTACATTGCATCCTTTTTATTATTAATAATAATTATTAGTTATTATAAGAAAACCTGAACACAGCTTTTGATTTGTTTTGCATGTCAAGAATGCAGTTCATTACAAGGAGTAAAGTGATATTTTAAAACACTGCACCTTTAGTTACAGTGCTTTTGAGACCACTGCTGTGCCTGTATGCACTGTGTCTGTACACACGATGCCTGCAGCGTACGCTCAGTGTACACACATGCGCACAAGTGCTCTGGGTATTGCTATTGTAGGTTTTGTGAATATGTAATAAGGTTGTGCAACAGAAACGTAACAAACAAAGCAGTGTAATAATTTTGAATGACTGATTTTCACTTTGACACTGCTGACAACATTTGTTAGGGTGGTACTGGAAAAAGTGCCGTCTGGGGCCACAAACACTTGTCCCGCTGGCTCATTTGCAGACAGTTATCTGATGATTGTTAGAGCCTAACTTATGTCTACCATTAGCTACACTTAGGCCAGCAAGGTACCGTTAGTCAATCTAGCACCAGGTAGTCGAGCTCCTGATCGTTTTCTCCTTGGGTAGCTCCATCACTGAGGCTACGTTCACACAGCAGGTAAAAGTGGCCCAAATCTGATTTTCTCACCAAATTTCTGGGCTTGGCCGTTCACAGTGTCTTTTAAATGTGATCTGTATGTGACATCAGTCTGAACAGAACAGCTCCTAAACTGACCGACATAAGATCAAAAGATCAATGCTTCACGCTGCTTCACGGCTCATCCAGAGATAAACAATCAATCAAGACCGCTAATGAACGCCAGTCGCTCCCGGAGGATCAGCTTCATCTTCACCAGCATCACAGGAGCCATCATGAAGCTTCACTGACTGACAGCTGGGCTCATCACCCAGAATGTGTTTGAGCCGTAAAAAGGGCGCGGTCACTTCTTTGGTTTCGCGTCCTCGGATTCTTTAAACTCTGCTTATAGACTTTTAACTGTTCTTTGGCGCTGCAGCCTCGTTCTCCTGCGGCCGCGTTCTCCTGCGGCCGCGTTCGGACATTTCTTTATAAATGTCTTCTTTAATAACAGTCTTTAATAATTATTTGTACCTAAACATCAGCCTAAATGTTTATGAGTCTCAGCAGTGCGAATTTATGACGAATATGGAGTTGGATTGACAAAAAATGTCGCATGAATTCCGATCTGGCTGTTCTGACTGAGTCGCATTGCTGTATATCGGATACATATTGGATTTCAGTACCACAGATGAAATCAGAATTGAAAATGAAGATTCAGTGCATTTCCTGCTGTTCACACTGACACACAGACACACTTCTGTGTCACATATGGAGAAAAAGATCGGATTTGGGCCACTTTTACCTGCTGTCTGAACAAAGCCTAAGCGTAAATAATGTAATTCAGCAGCCAGTCAGGTGCTGTTCAGAGAAAACACTGATCTCAATCAGTAAATATTTACTCTGTGGTCATACTGAACATGAATTTAAGATCATGTCCTACCCTCACTCTTGGCGAACTTGAAGAGTTCTGGCCCGGAGCCTTGGAGGGAGCGTCTGGGTGTGCGAGTGCGAGGTGCCGCCAGGCGGCTGTACTCAGCCAGTGTGCTGGGCGACAGGCAGCGGGGCGAGGCGCGAGGTGAAGGGGAGTAGCGGTGGAGACGCTGGGGCAGAGACGAGCAGTCGTCCTCGCCATCCTCCAGGCTGTAGGAGTCGAACTCCTGATCGCTGTGCGTGCCCCGTCTCAGAGACTGCAGGGAGGCCGTGGAGCTCCGCCGCGAGGCTGATGCAGAGCTAGAGGCGTAGTCCTGCCTCAAACCTACAAACAGACAAGGACATTAACATCACACTCATGCTCTATTTGGAGCCATAAAAAATATACACAACATTCCCCTCCAAAACTCCAAAGTGTCGTTGATCAGCCAAGCTTAATTCTTCACTTCTGTGCTGCAGCTTAAATGCTAAAGTAGTTAATATGTAATGGAAGATAATAACCGACCAATTTGCATCATGGAAGGTATGCAAATGGAATGCATAAATCAAGCCACACTAGCTTTCAAAAAGTCCTTGAGTAAGAAGTCTCACTTGTGAAGCTGCTTAAGTGATTTTTGGCACTGTAAGACAGTGATATCTATAAAACTGACAAAAAGGACAGAAAGGTAGCAGCTGCCATCTTGAAGCTTGTACTTTTCCCTTTTTCCCACATTTTAAGCAGGTGGAAAATTGTAAATTTGATTTAACAATCCCTTCAAATTTCACTTGGCCTTTGCTCTTGCTCTGACAGAAATCATCATCATCATCATCATCATCTTCTTCTTCATCATCATCTTTAACCGCTTAGTCCAGATAGGGTCATGGTAGCAGTTGGGAGAGCAGAGAATCCCAGACGACCCTGTGCCCCACAACTTCCTCCAGCTCATTCCAGGGGACCCCAAGCCGCTCCCAGGCCAACCTGGAGATATAATCCCTCCAGCGGGTCCTAGGATGACCCCAGGGTCTCGTCCCATTAGGCTGTGCCTGGTACACCCCTACTGGGAGGCATCCAGATCAGATGCCCGAACCACCTCAACTGGCTCCTCCTGGATGACCGAGCTCCTCACCCTGTCAGTAGAGTGTAGCCCACCACCCTCATTCCCGCCTCTTGTATCCGTGAACTCATTCTTTCGGTCATTACCCACAGCTCATGACCACACGTGAGGGTGGGGATGTAGACTGACCGGTAAACAGACAACTCCCTCTTCACCACTACAGTCCAGTACAGTGACCGCATTACTGCTGCCGGCTGCACCAGCCTGTGGCCGATCCCTCTTTCTATCACTTGTGAACAAAACCCCAGGATACTTACACTCCTCCACCTGGGGCAGCTCTTCTCCCCTTACCTGGAGTGGACATGACATCCTTTTCCAGGCTAGGACCACGAGCCTATATAAGGAGCCTGATTATGCTAACCATGAACTTTAGCACCACTAAAAATTACTTGCACTGCGTAACAAATTTGCAAGCCCAGTTTGCTTATCGAGGAGTGCTTCTAAAATTAAATAACCTTTGTAGACCCGTGGAGCTCGATTTGCATTTGTCATATAATGGAAATGGTGATGAGATAGACACTGCAGGTCTGTGGGTTTAGGGGACTGAAGAAGGTTCACACTCACTCTCCTCTTGTAGCCTGGCCATTATCTGTACATCGGTCAAGTCCTGCAGCTTGTAGCCCATAGAGATGGAGTCATCTGACGTGCTCAGCTCACTGTCGATGGAGGATTGTGAGCTCAGTGCAGAGTGCATGCCCACGTAACCTACAATCACAAAACATACAAGAACAGCAGGCCTGTAATTACACTCGAATTCATCTCTAAAAGCGCACACACACTGACCGCCACAACACACTGGAAAACACAGAGGAAACAGCCAAATAGGGTGGGATCAGTCAGTCAGAGATTAAGGGGAAAAATAGAAATGCAGACATTGTACCACCTTCCTCACCAACGGTTTAGTTTTCAATACAGTTGTTTTTTTTGTCTTCTGTAACACTGAGCTTTAAAAGTGGGATTAATTAAAGCTGTTCAAAAATCATTTAAACAAACTATGACAGTATTTAAATAGTAATCAGGGTCATCAACAACAAGTTTTTTGGGCACAATCACCCATTATAAGTTAAGTGAGCCTTATTAGTCCCACAACGGGGAAATTTCACCTCTGCATTTCGACCCATCCGTGCAGTGAAACACCACTTGTACACTAGTGAAAGCACACACACACTAGGGGGCAGTGAGCACATCTGCCCAGGTTGGTTCCCTAACCTCCAGCCCACGACTGCCCCAGAATAGTAGCAAGAAAAAGTATGTGAACCCTTAGGAATTACCTAGATTTCTCCTTACATAGGTCATAAAATGTGATGTCATTCATCTAAGTCACAAGTACAGACAAACACTACGTGCTAAAGCTAATAACGCACAGTTATAATTGTTTGTCTTTATTCTGCACATCCGTTAAACACTCATAGTACTGGTGGAAAAAAGTAAGACAATGCTTAGATTTAATAACTGGTTGAACCCCCCTTGGCGTAATAATCTCAAGCAAGCGCTTCTGGGAACTGTGGATCAGACCTGCACAAGATTCAAAGAGAAACACTGGACCATTCCTCCTCGCAAACCTGCTTCAGCTCAGCCATATTCTTCAGCTGTCTCTCGAGGTCCTTCCACAGCACCTGTATTGGGTTAAGGCCTGGGCTCTGACTGCAAAAGGCGGATTTAATTTTCTGAAGCCATTCTGTAGCAGCTTTACTTCAATAGCCATGTTTACATGCAGCCTAATAATCCATTAATAATCCAACTAATAGCTCAATCAGAATAGAATATGACCAAGTATGCACCTCAATGAGAACAGTCTAGTCCGATTGAGGCCATTCGGAATACAATCTCTATCCGACTGATCGAGGTGGGTAATCCTGTAAATAATCCGTTAAATAGAAGAATAATATCCGTGTAAACGCCTGTATCTGATTACATTCCCTATCAGAAAGTTTAAGTCCGTTCTGATCATGTTCGTCACGTCATAGTGAAAGTTTATACCGTTCAACATGGCGGAGCAGAAACTGGTCTGCAGAGGAGACGAAGTTTCTGCTCTGATCTTTAAAAGACGGCGGTGGGACGGACGTCCAGCTTATGTGTCTCAGAACATGACGTCTTCCTCTCGGCCTTCTTTAATAAGGACATGTGAAGGACGTTTTCCTGAGTCTGACACCATTTTAAAGCAATTAAAAACACAAGCGCTGCTCACTGCTGCTCATCTCACTCTGACTGGACTCACGTGATGCTGGTTGTCATGGTAACGTCTACAATAAGCGGTTCTCTACGCATGAGCGTATTTTTGGATAGGATTACTTGTAGGGAGCATGTAAATGGAGATTTTCTATCAGACTGTTGAGTAGAGTGAGAATAAACACCTCAGTCTTAACCTGTAATCGGAATATATTTAATCGGATTGGGAAAAATCTTTGCATGCAAACACAGCCGGTGTTTAGGGTCCTTATTGTGCTGCATCATCTACCTACCGCTGAGCTTTTTTTTTTTTTTCTTCATCGAGTATCCTGCATTGTCCCTTTGGAGCGATCTTGGTTGGGCACTCAGTTCTAAGGAGAGTAGACACAGTATTATGACTACTCTCCATTTTGACATCTTGAGAACAGCAAATTCAACATGTGAGTGGTGCGAGAGGTTTTTGTAAGTCAAATTAGTTCTAACCCACACTTCCAATCTCATTTTACTGTTTGGACTACAGGGTTGCTAACTCCTGACTCCAGGACTCAGATACCTTTTCCAGAATACACTGTGAACATTTGAACAATATTCAATACAGACAAGAACAATACACATTTTTGTGTCATCAGTTTAAACAGACGGTGTTTGTTCTTTACTGTAACATAAGTAGACCAGACCATATTTTAAGAAGACTTTATACATAAACTCAGGTCATTCCAAAGGGTTAACATACTTTCTCTTGCCACTGTATTATTACTGTGCCATAGACATTAAAAAGCACCTAAATGCATCTTATCTTTATTTTCCAATTAAAAGGTTGAAGGGATAGGAATTATGATGTGTGTCGTCCACTGTAACACGTAATTTGGATGTTAATATATGTACAAAACTACTACTTGTCTTTATATGAGCTACTTTAGAGCAACATACGGAGGTGGCCTATTTCCATTAAGAAATAAAACATTCCTCCAGGCTTCCTTTAATTACTGCGTGACATTTTCTTGTCGAGCACGAAAAGAGGCTCACAAATTTCAGAACTGTCACAAATGATATGAGCTCACATTCATAATGATTCATAGCCAACAGTGTAGCTCACAGCTTTAAGACACCGTACCCAGCAGTAAAAGTGCAAGACTCAGTTAAACATTTACCTGTTGGGCTGCATAATAATCCCATTACGGTTATATTAATACCCACTACTGATTAGATAAACACTACCTATTATACAATAAGAGAAAAGGATATTTAAACAAAAGTGTAGTTGAATAGCAGACCACACCATGTTTGGTTTAGATTTAGTCCTTCATTTTTGTGGCCAAAAGACAAAGACATTTATTGAATAACGAATACATGTGTTTGAAACTAAAATCAGAAGTCCGCTGTAAGATAACAGTGTGAGTACAATAGTAAAAGAGGGGTTTAGGTTACAGGTTTTCTTCAGATTACAGCTTGCAGGGAAAAATAGTGGTAATAATAGGTACTATTCCACTGATACCTTTCTTGACAAACCTGTCTGGATGTGATATTTACTCTGTAAATACAAGCGTTGCCAACAACACACGCATGCAAATGCAGGTAATCATGGACTTGGCTCACTTGTTGAAAGCTGAAATATTTACCACCTCATGCAGAACACCTGAGCTTAAAAGCCATTGAGTGCACACACAAGTGGACACACAAATTGGTGCTGGGTGATATGAGCTCAAATCAATATCACGATAAAAAATATTCAATTAATCCCTCATAGTTCACTGACCAGGTTTATACTGTAAATATGCTCTGCATGTCTTAATGTAAATCATCGGAATTCAGGCGGCTTTTACATCAATTCAACTCAACATTCGTCATAATTTTGTGCTGCTGAGACCTCAAACATTTTTGGTGATATTTCTGTACAAAAATTATCCGAAATGTCCGAACGCGGCCGTAGGAGAACGAGGCTGCAGCGTCAAAGAATAGTTAAAAGTCTGAAAGCAAAGTTCATGATGGCTCCTGAGATGCTGGTGAAGATGAAGCTGATCCTCCGGGAGCGACTGGCGTTCGTTAGCAGTCGTGATTGTTCACCTCTGGATGAGCCGTGAAGCAGCGTGACGCTCTGATCTTTAGTGCATGTGGATCAGTTTAGGAGCTGATCTGTTCAGACTGATGACCCATACAGATCACATTTAATAGATAATCTGAACAGCCAAACTAAAAGATTGGATTTGGTGAGAAAATCAGATTTGGGCCACTTTTACCTGCTGTGTGAACGTAGCCTTAGCTTCCATGTCACGGACTGGACGTGGGAGTCATGTGATACACGCGTGGTAGTAAGTTTTTAAGGGGACAGTGCATGAACACACAGAGTGGAGAAAGGATTAACAGAATTAAAAAAAATCTAAATAACCGACATGGGCAGGATTGCGTCGGTTAGAGGTTCTGAATGTCGGTTTCGATTACTTTCCGATTAATTGCCCAGCCCTAAGACAAATCACAACAAAACATTAAGAAAAAAAAGACACACTGTAAGGCTGTGTCCAAAACCCATAAGCTTATTGCAGAGCACACAAATGTGTGTCTGTGGTGTTTTCTCATGTTTGCAGAGAGGGAGGCTGTGTGTACAGTAAGAGGTGGAATAAAAGCAGGTGAAGCGTCGTGTTAACATCATGCCATACCTGAGCTGCCACAGGTTAGTAGGGATTTGTTAGTTGATTTGTGGTACCCAGGAGAGAGCAGAGGGGCGCCTGAGGAACCAGCCTCAGCTGCTGAGCCTGCCGAGCTTTGAGATGGGCTGCAGTACACGTTCCTCCATCTCGAGGCTACGGGAGAGAAAAGGGAAGAATTAGCATAAAAATCAGCATCTGCATTAGCATTATATGCGCAAGTCCTCCAGGCACAACTTTCCATTACATTAAACTGATGAAGTGTGACAGATCTTATAATTCAAAGCACAACTAATGTTTTGTAACTGCTGTCCTAAAACAGAACATACTTCCTTCACAGTAGTCATTCCTCACAACTCACAGGCTCATTTATTATGTTTTCCAGTGTATTTTATACCGTCGTCAAAAGGACTGAAACTGAGATGTGTCTTTCGTATAGACGCCGTGATTTAGGTCATGAATGCTAGTCGTACTAATTCCTTTCTGCTCACGCGATCGTGTGAGTTCATGTGATGAGTTATATAATACAGATGCACCAAAATTAATTAATTAAAAATTAAATAGGCCAACAAAGAAATGTTATAGTCTTTGTAAATTTACAAGAAAATTCTGGTAAAAACTGATTGGCTGTGTGAAACTATTTCACAGTTTCTACAAGGGACTTTAGATAAGTGACTTATAATCTGTGTCCATGTCGAGTATCAAGAAAAGGTACAACATCCAAGAACTTCTCCACTACAGGTTTGATACCACTAGGGCTGCAACTAACGATGACTTCCATAATTGATGAACTGGTTCATTATGCCGTTACTAAACTGGTCTAATGACTAAATATTTCATGGTATACATAATATTCCTTTCAACAAGGTAAAAATACAAGGATTACACACGGATCTTCTAAACCGGACAATTAAGATCAGCAACGCCCTCGAAAATGATATTTACCTCAGCGTGAAATGTGCAAGAACAAAAAAGAGGAAAAAGCAACAACACGTGAACAAATATTACATCCAGCACCTTCCATCTTTGACCACCTCCAATTGAAATCCGTTCACAATGCATCCTGGGGGCGTTTACATCTGGCTTTTCATGCAGTCAAGCAAAATTCGAACATGATTTAATCACCAAAAACCTTATTATTAATTATATGTTAATGTAAAGTCTAAAGAGGCCCAAAATTTGAGTGCTATGCAGGCAGTGCAAGAATGCAGGACAGGCCATTTGATAGCATAACAGACAATGTTTAAACTATGGAATATGATACCTGTAACAGTAATTGCTGTGCCACTCCTCTGGAGTTGTTCCTTTACAGGACAAAAATGTGCTTCTGTACCATCCTCCAGCTGCCAAGCGGGAGGAGGTACAGAAGCATTAAGTCCAGAGTTCCGGTTCTGAGAAAGTTTCTTCCCCCGGGCCATCAGGCTGCTGAACAGCCAGTAGTGCTGGTGTATCAGTCTATAGGCCTGTACATTGGAATAGTGCAATACTAGTGTATATTGTGCATGTGTGTATATTTAGAGTCGGTGTTTATACTTTACCATACTTTGTCAGCCCCCTTTTACCCTGTTCTTCAGTGGTCAGGACCCCCATGGACCCTCACAGAGCAGGTAGGTGGGTGGTGGATCATTCTCAGCACTGCAGTAACACTGACGTGGTGGTGGTATGTTAGTGTGTGTTGTGCTGGTCTGAGTGGATCAGACACAGCAGTGCTGCTGGAGATTTTAAACACCTCAGTGTCACTGCTGGACTGAGAATAGTCCACCAACCAAAAATATCCAGACAACAGCGTCCTGTGACCACTGATGAAGGACTAGAGGATGACCAACACAAACTGTGCCGCAGCAGATGAGCTATCGTCTCTGACTTTACATCTACAAGGTGGACTGAGAAGGTAGGAGTGTCTAATAGAGTGGACAGTGAGTGGACAGTGAGTGGACTCCAGCAGCACTGCTGTGTCTGATCCACTCAGACCAGCACAAACTAACACACCACCACCACGTCAGTGTTACTGCAGTGCTGAGAATGATCCACCACCCAAATAGTACCTGCTCTGTGAGGGTCCATGGGGGTCCTGACCACTGAAGAACAGGGTAAAAGGGGGCTAACAAAGTATCAGAGAAACAGATGGACTACAGTCTGTAACTGTAGAACTACAAAGTGCACCTATACAGTAAGTGGAGCTGATAAAATGGACAATGAGCGTAGAAACAAGGAGGTGGTCATGATGTTATGCCTGATCGGTGTACACTAGTATTGCACTATTTCCAATGTACGGTTGTACAGTAATCAGTTATGAAATAAAACTATGTACTGTTGTACACATTCTGTATGTGCAGTTAGTAAATCTGGGGTAGATAAATAAATGAGATGCAGGTTCACAGAGGACAGAATATTGGTATAGAAATCTTCCAGATTATACAAGATATGGATAGGAGATGTACAACATGTCAATCTATATAGGTATAGATCATATTTTGATATAAATAATAAATAGATAATATATTTCACCATTTTAGTTCAAATTGATCGAATACTAGTTATGCTCGTTCTGGTATTCAACAATAACTACACGACTGTAAACAAAGCCGCCTAGTCTGGGTCCCGAGGTTGTGTGTAGGTGTTATCTTGTTACCACATGACGTACTTTGGTCCAGGCGGCTGATGAGCGTCCTGCAGGCCACCTCAGTCTCAGGACTTGGGTGATCCAGCACCTTCCTGCACCATTTCAGTGGAGACTCTGGGCCCTGCTCTGCCAGCACCTGCTTCTTTGGTGACACATACAACCTACAGAGGAGAACAGGACAGGAACCAGTTGAGCCAGTTTGTTCAGAGAGAACAGGGCTGTAGAAAGCAGATCTTTTAAGATATGCATGACTGACAGTGTGACAGAGCGTGAAAACACACCTTAATGATTAGCACCCAGATCAAATACACATCTGCTTTCACTAGTGAAGAATGAATGCTTGTGTTTACCAACAGCCAGCAGAGCCAGCACCGCCCAGCCCATGATATGAGTCTTTGCAGACAGACTGATAGTGCTGCCACACCAACAATGCAGTGTTTTCTTTCAGAGGTTAAACTGAGCTGGATCTGCGGTTACAGACCGAGATGATGAGCTGAAAAGTCAGTGCCTCAAGAGACATATCTGTATAGAAGAGAATGCTTTAAGCCAAAATTCCTGAATAGCCTCATGCCCAAGACTGATCTTGGACAGTTTAAATAATTCTTAAAAAGTTAGGAAAAAGCATAACCACAATTTAAACACTCACACAGCTATTTACAGCAGAAGATTCGCTACTACTTTGGACAAAGACTGGGCGATAGGGATGTGCAACGATATCCAAACCCACAGTGATCCAGAACATACTGCAAAACCACCATTAACTACTTCACAAAGATCTTAGATCTTAAGTGCTTCTTAAACTAGAAGCATTCTATAAAGAAAAGTGGGTAAAATCTCTCAAAGATTTTTTGCTCAAATCCGATCTCTCTGACACGATGGTTCACACTCGTTTAGGTCAGTGATTCGAATCTGTCATTAATGTGACGAACCGGCGTCCTGAAATGACCCTCATGAGCTCATCCTACTCAGTAACGTCACGTGAATGAATCTTCATCATCAGCACAAACTAACGAGCAGAACGAGCTTCGCTGAGAAGATCATTAACTCTGATCAGCTCTCAGCTTCATTATTAGAGCGAGACGAAGGAGAAAAAGGTGAGATGAGCTGCTTTTCCACTGTTTACAGGCTTTAACCTCTGTTCGGCGCTGCTGCCATGGTAACGCTGAACGACGGAAAAAAAGCGCATGAATTCAGATCTGAGCGTCACATTAAGGTCGCATGGCCACGAATCGGATACGTATCCGATCTAGGACCACACATGAAAGTGGCTCAGGTCGGATTTGAGCAGATCAGATTTGCGTGTCCACACAGCCCTGAAGACATCAGATCTGAGTCACATTAGGGCAAAAAAATCAGATTTGTGCCACTTCAGCCTGGTAATGTGAATAGTAGAAAACATAGTGATACAAATTTCCGGTAGTTTTAACCAGTTCTCTGAAGATCTGTGCATTTTCTTGGCCATCACTATGAATTAGGCTCATCATCCAAACCTCACAGGCTGAGCCCAACCCTTAAACACTCGCGCTCAAGATCTATACCCATCCGCAGAGGATGGTGACGTCAGAAGAGCGCTCCCTCCGAGCTGTAGGATTAGTGTCGCTCCGATGCAAATACCCAGTGAATCAATAAGTGGCTTGTGAGTATTTGCATCCTTCTACTGAGAGCCAAGTTCATTAAATGCTTCAAAAGCCACTGTGTGGGTGAATGTTGGTGTCGACACAAAGGCCTGCTCTAATGGCTCATCCTCCCTGTTGGAGAGATACAAAGGCACTAGACTCCCACTGGGAAGAACAATAATATGGACTGTAGCATTGAGGTCACAGATCTGGTTTGAAAGGTAGGTCAGTGGTGCTGACACTCTTAGCCTTTAGTCAGGATTCAGAAGCAGAACTAGATGTACTTAATAACGAGCCTATTTCATCTGTTTGTACGATGTGAAAAAGACTTCTTTTTGGTCATCATTTCTTTCTCTTCAGTCCTTATGTGAGAAAACAGGATCACATGTGTTCCACGTCCAGCCAAAGCAGTTTACCACCCAGCCCAAAGCAGATTACACCGTGCCCTTAAACAGATTACAAAACGTGGTCATGTTAACCTCATCCGTCGCATATGGCCAGACTACTAATGCGAAACTGAGAACAGGCTATCGCTGCTTTGGCAGTCCAGCCTCGGATAAGCTGCTAATTGGCCGTCAGAAACACAATGTGCTACCTTTGTACAAATTAGGTCTGTGCGCAAGGAAAGACCCCCAAATCCCAAACCAGCCTAAACCTCAGCACTGATGCAGCCTGGGACATATTAGGCAACTAAGAACCAAACGAAAAAGCTGGATTACTTGGATTAGTAACATTCCGCTACTGATCGCTTCTAGTAATCGTGTATTCATTAAATAAAATTTAGAGTATGACTGCAATCGGTCAAAACACTGCTCTTCTGACCATACCACAGCACACGCTGAGCTGAATGTTCGGTTATGATACTATATAGAAATTAAATTCTACAGCAGCTTGCATGCTGTGACATCAGACTTGCTTTAGAACAGAGGTCACTAATAGGTGGACCGCAGTCCGTGTCCGGACTCAGACGCTGTCCTGTGCGGACATCTATTATTAATCTCTTATTTAATTTCAATAGGGTGGTCCTATTTTAATCAGCGTAACTTTTCTAGCCTTACGGCGCCTCTTTTACGCCCGGGAGACTCACAGATCAATCGCATATGTTGTAAATATCACACGTGGCGCTACTCAGCCAATCAGATCTGTGCATTACGATGAGCACTGAGACTCGAGTGAGTGACACACACAGGGGGACGAGGCGAGAAACAGCAGTCGGAGAAGAAAGTGAGTCAGAGGGAAGTTATTTCACGTGTCGTGCTCTTCAGATGATGGAGGAGGGAGAGAGAGCACCAAGTGTGTTGTCCAGAGCGGAAGTCAGTCGCTGGTGCGAACACTGGCTGAACATTACGAAACATCGCTGTAAACGTCTGCGGGAATTTCCCGCGAAGTAAGAGTTAGACTTGCAGGAATCGATATGCTTTGCTGTTTTGTTCCACTAGGTAGAACATTTTGTGCACTTTGATGCCTCTTGTAACTGCCATTGATATATTCACAGCATTCGAGGCTGAAAGTGACAGTGTCTAAATACAGGACATCAATTCCTGTTCGTTTACTCCTCAGCTAGATTGGTCTAGTGTTCCCCCTAGATTTGCATTCAGGCTGGGTGGTAGAGCCTTTGTGTTTTAGCATACTGAGTATAAAATGTTACTGAGAAGATTAAACTGTGCTGTCGTTTTTATATTATACATTTGCACACAGTCTTATTTTAGGGCATTACCTAGTGCTGGGCGATATGATCTTAAATCAATATCACGATTAATTGAATTATTTTACCTCGATTACGATTAATGAGCAATTATTTTGGGTTTTTTTTTGCCCTGGTAGTTCACCAACAAGGTTTGTACTGTAAATATGTTCTGCATATCTTAACGTAAGTCGTCTCAACAGCCAGATCGGAATTCACGTGGCTTTTACGTCAAACCAGCTCGACATTCGTCATAATTTCGCTCTGCTGAGACTCATAAACATTTGGGGTGATATTTCTGTACAAAAATTAGAAGACACTCATCCAGAACCCTCCGTGTTTGAAGACATTTTGAAAGAAATGGCCGAACGCGGCCGCAGGAGAACGAGAATGACTGCTGTTCGTTGGCGGTCGTGGTTGTTTACCTCTGTATGAGCCGTGAAGCAGCGTGAAGCTCTGTTCTTTTGCGCATGTGGGTCAGTTTAGGAGCTGATCTGTTCAGACTGATGATACAGATCACATTTAAAAGATAATCTGAACAGCCAAACAAAAAGATTCGATTTGGTGAGAAAATCAGATTTGGGCTACTTTTACCTGCTGTGTGAATGTAGCCTTAGCTTCCATGTCACAGACTGGACGTGGCGGAGTCACGTGATACACGCGCGGCGGGACAGTACATGAACACAGAGTCGGGAAAGGATTAACCAAAAAAAATAAAAATAAATAATAATAATAATAATAATAATAATAATAATAGAAATAATTGACAATGACAAGATTGCGTCAGTTCGAGGTTCTGAATGTCGGTTTCGATTACTTTTTGTTGAATTGCCCAGCCCTAACATTAACATTATATGCAACAAAATTATTCACATTACTCCTGTTCAAAGCCAATCAACAGCTGATTTAATGGTAGGGGAAACACTGAAATATTTATGCCTGGTAATGCATATTGATAATCGATAATGCATCGATCCTGAGTTGATACTGGCACGAATAATGCCTTTATCAAACAGACCAGGTAACGATCAAACATGACCAGCACACAGTGCGTACGGTACTTTAGTCTCCAAAGGCAAACACCAGCAGTAGAATGTCGTACTGAAGAGCTCAGTGACTTTACGAATGGCATCGTCATCAGACGCCACTTTCGCCACAAGACTGTTCGTGAAAATTCTGGCACTGCTAGATCTGCCCTGGTCAACCGTAAGGGCTATAATAGCGTCTTAGTGCAGCAAGAGCTCAGCCACCAAGCTGTAGACCTAAACTCACAGCGCGAGGCTGCTGAGTGCTGAAGTGTGTAGTGCATGATAATCGCGTATCCTCTGTTGCATCACTACAGAGTTCCAAACTCCCTCTGGAAGTAACCTTAGCATAAGATCTGTGTGACTGGAACTTCATGAAATGGGTCTCCATGGCTGAACAGCTGCAAACAAGCCTAAGATCACTACACACAATGCCAGGCACCGCTGCAGTGGTCTAAAGCACATCAGTGGAGTGATGAATCAGCTTCTCTATCTGTCAGCCTGATGGATGAATCTGGGTTTGGAGGATGCCAGGAGAACATTACCTACCAACATGCACAGAGCCAACAGTAGAGTTTGATGGAGGAGGGATGATGATCTGGGGCTGTTTTTCAGGGTTTTAAATTATTCCAGATTTGCAGCGACAAATTACGGAGGCCCTTTCCTCTTCCAGCATAACTGAGCCCCTGTGCAAAAGTGAGGTCCATAAAGACATGGATTAGCAACTTTGGACTTCAGAGCCTCAACCCCACTGAACACCTTTGGGATGAACTGAAATGTGGATGGTGAGCCAGGCCTTCTCATTCAGCAGTGCCTGACCTCACAGATGCTCTTTTGACTGAATGGGAACAAATTCCCACAGACACACTCCAAAACACTAAAGAGCCACAAAGTGGGAAGGGGGGAGAAGAGAAAGAGAAAGAGAGACTGGAATCTTTGCATTTCTACTGAAAATGCAAATTGATAGGCTATATGCAACACAACAACACACACACACACACACACACACACACACACAAAATAAAACAGAAAAACATTCCCAGGTGCCCAGTTAGAGAAGCCTGGTGACTCGCTGTCTAAGACACCTCGGTCACGAAGGGCTCTTACTGCGCACACTCGCGCACACTCGCGCACACACACACAAACACAAACACAAACACACACTCGCACACACTCACACAGCTGGTCAGTCACGCAGAGCAGCGCCTTTAGAGAATGACGCTGGGCAGAACGGAGGAGACTCCCTCTCACAGCGAGAGATCAGTGAGGCGTGCAGTCACACCACCGCTACGCTCTCATTACGCTGCGAGCAACACGGATCACAGCAAATTACCTCCCTATTTTTCTGTGCTGAAGTACAAAGCTGGGCAGAAGCCCACACTCTCCATTAAAACGCTATTTACAGTAAAAAACTACAGGCGAGATAAACACCGTCGTCTTCAGCGCAGCAGAAACGCGATGCTGAACATTACAGCTGTTAAGCCTGAATACGGTAGAGCCAGATGGAAATATTCTTTGGATGATATCAAAGGTCCACAGAAAACCTACAGTTACATAAACTAAATATTTTATTTTACCTTCGAATTATTTTAGTTCTGTTTGTAACTGTTTAAGTTGAATATTTTATTTTTCTATTTATTTTTCCACTTTACATACTATTTTTATGTATTTCTACTCATTTTATTGTTTTTATTATAGTTTGACTGTTTCTTCTTCTTATTATTATTATTATTATTACATAATTTTTATTGTTGTGTTTCTTTAATATTTTTAAATGTTTTCTTTTATTATTTTATCTTTACTTTGTAATCTTTATTTTAACAACCTTAATTTGTAATGTGTTTTAAACTCTTCCTGTGGCTCTCGGCTACACTATAAACGAGGGCCCCCCTCAATGTAAACCTGAGCTTAAATAAAGAAAAGAATGTAACGAACAGAGCTCACCCTGTCAAAAGGTGACACGAGGTTCTTGCAGGGTGTTTAGCCCTCCATAGACCTCCTTTATGTCTTTGTGTTTAGCCCATCAACCTAGTGGGCATTGTAGTCAGCGATCAGTACGTGTCTCAGATAAAATATGCAATAGCCGTAAGTACAGCGTAGGTTTATCTAGTAAACTGGCAAACAGTAAACATTAAGATGCACGGACCCTTTTTACTCTGTTAAATCAGCGTATTAATGCATTTTTACACTCCTAGTCAAATAAAGTTTTTTCTATTTGTGTTTCTCAAAAATCTGCTTGTAAGCATAAATGATTTAAACACTTTTGGGGATTGTGCAGGATTAGTGCCTGCTTTAAAGACCAAATATAAACCATCAGTAAGTAAATCAACCGTATTAAACATTACAGCTGCACCATATTTCACCTGTAAACCATTATTGCAATACTGACACAAGTATTTAGTATGCAAATCAGCCCCCTAACCAATCACAATGTTTTTTCTACTTTGTGCTGTGAGCATCTTGACCGTGAGTGTTTTTGAGAATATTTTAACCCCTTACAAAGCCATGGACCCACCGGCGGCCCAAAGTTTCACTACACACTTCTGAAACCTAAGAAAAGCTCCATTAGCTTGCACTGAAATCCCTGTAGATAATGAATAATAAGCCTTAGTACAGGGGCGTCCAATCTTATCCGCAAATTGCCGGTGTGGCTGCAGGTTCTCACTCCAGACGAGCTGGAGCTCACCTGATTCTCACTGTTTAATCAGCTGATCTCAGTCTTCAAGCTGCTGATCAGGTGACCTTCTGCTTTGTTGGGAGTGAAAAACCTGCAGCCACACCAGCCCTTTGTGGACCAGACTGGACACCCCTGCCATAGTAGGTAATAAGCCTGGAATTTTAAGGGGTTAAAGAGTCAAGGTATTCATGTCATCCTGTAAATGTACATGATTTTGGTAATGCAGGCCAGTTTTTGCCACATCACCAATTCACCAGTGCATTTTTAACACACGACAAAACGTATCATAAATATAACACAGAGCAAAACAGGGCGTCCCAGAAAAACTGACATCATTTCGTAGTCTAATAACAGCCAATTCTCCCTCAAATGATCTCAAATTTTAACAAAATGTGTAAAAACTAATCAAGTTTCATTTCTATTTTTTTTTTGAAGAATGGCATTCACTAGAAATGAAAAGGCATTTTGTTTTTGTGTGTTAGAATATGCTCGAACACAGTCAAACGAGAGTGTGCAGTGGCATTTTCGAGAAAATTCAATAAAAATGCACCAACTGGAAAGCAGAATTTGGACATGGCACAAAAAATTCAAAGAGGAAGGCTGTCTGTGCAGGACAAAGGGGTCTGGACGACCACCAGTATCGGAAGATCAGCTTTGTGAAATCGGTTCTAAAATCTACATCCGTCTGAATTTCTTGTTCGAATTTTGATAAATAAATCTTGTACTGTTCAACATGAAGCCTATTTAATTTCGTTTGCCAGGACATGTAGTTACTCAGACACTCACATCTCAAATGATGTCCATTTTTTTGGGACACGCTGTATATTTACTACAGCAGAATTTAGTTTGTATCAAGAAAACCTATTAAATAAAAGTCAGATATAAGAAACATACCAGCTGTCTTCATCCTCAACACAGTCCTCCAAGTCGAGCACATCCACCTCGTCCAGAGCAGACTGGTCCATGCCCACGTCGCTCCCGCCGAGCGTCTCTGAATCATAGCTGTTGGGAGAGGGACTAGCCTGAGTTTGTCCCTGCGTTTGTTCCAGCCCTGCACCACACGGAAGACTCAAGAACCGTCCCGGCTCCTCCTCTTCATCCTCCAGCCTCGCAGCTTCGGGGAGCGGAGACATATCTTCACTGCTGCTGCTGTGAGGCGGGGATCGCTCAAAGTCTCTGCCCGTGAGGCTGCCTCCATCCTCGGGCTGGACAGCAGAGCTCGTGATCTCTTCACACAGTGTCCTCTCGTTTATGTTGCTGTTGGTGCCCCTGAGATGATGTTTGTTCCCTCTGTTCCGCAAGCTTTGGTTCTGAACCTCCAGTCGCCGCACGAGCTCCTGCAGCTTGCGCACCTCCTGCAGCTCCACCTCGGCCATGTCCTGCTCCACCTCGAACCCCGGCTCTGCGCTCGCCATGAGCCCGCTGGTGCTGCCATTGTCTGCCTGCTGGACCACGTTCCCACTGTCCGGAACCACCATTCTCCCACACTGTGGACGGTAAAGAGCACACAGGTGTGCACCGTTACTCATTTGTGGCAGAACAGAGGCTCAACAAGCTTTTAGCCGTATTGGACACACCTCACCCCCCTGCCTGCTACACTGGATAAACGGAGAAGCTGATTCAGGTCAGACTGTTCCAGCTGCGCTGTGTTAAAGAGCCGTGTGAGATCTTTCTTACCCACTGATATACGGCTCTACAGCCAGTCTCCTCACTGCAGAGACGGTACTGATCTCCTGCTGTCTGAACTGAGCTGAACCCCATCACTATATCTCCTCTCTGTTAATACTCACTGTGTAATATATCACAACTGCTACTGTGATGACTCTCACTGCACACTTTACACTGTAAACACTGCTGCATCTCCTAGTTAGTTAGTTATGTCGGCATTCATTGTGCTTTTAGTACTCAGTGCCTGCTCTCATGTAAATACAACAAATCTGTCTCATATGCCACGTAAATATGCAAACATATACTTTTATTTTATTTCTCTTATTTTAACTTATGTCTATTTTTATTTCTATTTTTTAATTATATGCATAGCATATCGTCGCTGTCCAATGAAAAACATGTATCTCCATTTTTTGCGATTTTTACTTTTCTGCATCATTTGAGCTCAGCAGCTGTCCTTTACATTGTCTGAAAACTTCATGGTGAGTGGACCAATAAAAATGCTCCAAAATTGCTTAGAATAAAAACTCTTCCCATTAGCTTACAGTGAAAGTAAAGAACCTTTTTGCTCTCTCCTGTAAAGTTACCATTTTGGAGATACTTGTTTTTCTTTGGACAGCGACAATATGCGAGTTTATGTGCAATTATATAGGGGGCCCCAAAGAAACTGACATCATTTCGTAGTCTAACAACAGCCAATTCTCCCTCAAATGATCTCAAACTTTAACAAAATGTGTAAAAACTAACCAAGTTTCATTTTTAATGTCCAGTTGAAGAATGGCGTTCACTAAAAATGAAAAGGCTTTTTGTTTTTGTGTGTTAGAATATGCTCGGACACGGTCAAACGAGAGTGTGCAGTGGCATTTTTGAGAAAATTCAGTAAAAATGCACCAACTGGAAAGCAGAATTTGGACACGGCACAAAAAATTCAAAGAGGAAGGCTGTCTGTGCAGGACAGAGGGTTCTGGACCACCACCAGTATCGGAAGATATCGTCAATCAGCTTTGTGAAAACTGCAGTTCCCTTCAGGATCAATAAGCTTCTATCTATCTATCTATCTATCTATCTATTAAAATAAGATCATATGCCAAAAAGTCTCTCTTACATGATCATAAGAAGCACTTTTCTTCTTTCAATTTTAAATATAACACAAGCATGAAAAGATACAGCAGACACTGCGCTCAGAAACTTCAGGTGCCAATCAGAAAATTCATTTAAGGCACTTTGTGGAGCTTTTTTGACCAAAGCAGCTCACTTCAGCTTAATGAAAGACAGGTACAACAGTGGCCATCAACTTGAGACAGAAACAAAAGGTGGTCACCTTGGACCATCAGTGCCTCGACCTTTGCTGCACACATGGAAGAGGCCTAACTTTGGACTGAAATTCAATTCAACTTAAGCCCCACCAAAGACATTCCTGCTTATCTGGGCACAGAAACCACCTCTCAAAGCCACTGCTAGTGAAGTGTCGCCCTAACTACATAGTTGACTAATCTACCAAGTACTCAGCGCTAGCAGCGGAAACTAACGCAGAACTTTCCTCTCCGAGACTGAAAAACTCCTGATATTCCTTTTCGGTGCTACTGATCACAAAAACCCGTGGAAAGGCAGGCAGTTACCCTACTTTTGTGGGTCAAGGAAACCAACATTGCTAACGTTAAAACGAGCCGACCTAGTGTAAAACAGGGCTCTGGACGAATATCAAACGATATAAACCTGCCTAGTTTATTTCTTTATCTAGAGATAACTTACAGTCGGAACACTGAGCGCCGGCCCTGTGCATAAAAGCCCGTTTCTCACAATATAATTAACTTAAAACGGAGATTCCGGTCCAGTTCCAAAAGCCGGTCACTGCAACAGAGCAACTGCGGTTTAACCAAAGCTTTTTATTTGAAAAACGACCAAAAAACACTCGTTTACGTTACTACACTATTTTAATACCGTGTTAGCTGCTTCTGTTCGGACTGACGACCTGAGTTTCATATCTATCCGTTGGTGTAACGCTATAAACACAGCGTCTGATCTCGGGCTGCTGCAGAAAGGCGAGAAGCTTTGGATTTCACGGCTATTTATGAATTTTGTTGGGTCGGTTTTAATGAAGAGAATCATAAAACACGATAAGACCGAGTCGCCTCGCCTGTTTAGCGAGCAGCAAAACAAAACCAGGCTAACGTGGCTGGCGGAGCCGCTGCGACCCGCGGGGTCCAATGACTCCTAGATTAGCTCGTTAGCCGCTGCACAAGCCACATTACAGCACCTCACCTGCCCAGGTTCGTCCAGGTCTCCTGTTATCGGCGGCCCAGCTCCGACATTTAAACCCAAACACGTTATTGGATCATCAGCCTCCCGTTGCTATGCGAGAGACTGGCTAGCAACCGTCGGCTGCTCGGCTAGTTAGCTTTCTCTCCTCTCGCTAACCAGCCAGTTTGTTATCGAGCGGAGAGTTTGACTGACACCAGTTGAGCCAATCAGACTCCAGCTCCCGCCCACTGCGGTCGCCCGCGCGCCCTACTTGGCGATGTAGCCCCGCCTGCTGGACGCTTCGAGTAGCGTGCTCGGTGTTGGTCCTCCAAAGCTGCAATAGCACTGTTTATACAACAGGTGGCAGCAGTGCTTCAAGTTCGAACACAGCGCGTTTTTGAGCAACGAGGACGATCCGCTCTGAAGTAAACTTGCCTGCGTCCCATTCGCTCCTCCACTAACACTGTTCCCTACTTCCTGCTCCCTTAGAGCTCCACGGCAGGGCAGGGCTGCTCAGTCCTGGTCTTGAAGATCTACCAGTCTGCATAGTTAAACACCAAATCCAGGTGACCGATAGGCACCGATCAGGCATAACATTATGAGCTCCTCCTTGTTTCTACGCTCATTGTCCATTTTATCAGCTCCACTTACTATATAGGTGCACTTTGTAGTTCTACAGTTGTTCTTCAGTGGTCAGGACCCCCATGGACCCTCACAGAGCAGGTACTATTTGGGTGGTGGATCATTCTCAGCACTGCAGTAACACTGACGTGGTGGTGGTGTGTTAGTGTGTGTTGCGCTGGTCTGAGTGGATCAGACACAGCAGTGCTGCTGGAGTTTTTAAGCACCTCAGTGTCACTGCTGGACTGAGAATAGTCCACCAACCAAAAATATCCAGCCAACAGCGTCCTGTGGGCAGCGTCTTGTGACCACTGATGAAGGACTAGAGGATGACCAACACAAACTGTGCAGCAGCAGATGAGCTATCGTCTCTGACTTTACATCTACAAGGTGGACTGACAAGGTAGGAGTGTCTAATAGAGTTGACAGTGAGTGGACACAGTGTTTAAAAACTCCAGCAGCACTGCTGTGTCTGATCCACTCAGACCAGCGCAACACACACTAACACACCACCACCACGTCAGTGTTACTGCAGTGCTGAGAATGATCCACCACCCAAATAGTACCTGCTCTGTGGGGGTCCGTGGGGGTCCATGGGGGTCCTGACCACTGAAGAACAGGGTAAAAGGGGGCTAACAAAGTATCAGAGAAACAGATGGACTACAGTCTGTAACTCTAGAACTACAAAGTGCACCTATATAGTAAGTGGAGCTGATAAAATGGACAATGAGCGTAGAAACAAGGAGGAGGTCATAATGTTATGCCTGATCGGTGTATGTTGGATCTGAATTCTCCAGGGTGGTAGATCTCCAGGACCCAGAATTGGCCCCCATGATGCGGTTGAAAGTAACAGCCATTGGGAATACGTAGGGATGTGTTATTTTCAGGAGCTACTTTTCTGGTTCTTTTATCCAAAAACAATCTTGCAACAACACAGCAATGCTGCCATTTACCACTTACAGTTCAGTTAGCAGGAACGTAGCCTGTTATATCCCAGTTCAAATTGTTTCTTTTACTGCAGCAGCTGACTGATCTTGTAGTAATTTAAAGATGTACAAATCTATGGGGTGTTTGCACGTATAAGCTTAGTGTGATGTAGTTAATTATTATCTTGCTACCACCATTTTTACCCATTTCATTTATTTATTTAGTCTCACGGAATGGGCAGGATGTTTGTGCTGGAAGTATGCAATCTCATCACAACATCCATTCACTGGCTATCATAGTATTTAAATCTCAGAATCCCGATGAGCTGGAACGTCATGGAACTTTACAGCCCAACCCCGTCTGCCTTCTGACTCTACCCTCTTCTGTTTGTAATCTTTTGCCTCTGTCCGACTCCGGCCTGTACTGATTATGCTGTTATGCTGTTTTCCCTTTAGTTGTGTTTGAATATACACAGCCCTCTTTTTGGAGACACATAGATAAATATTTATAGTTCTGCCACATATTTACTTATTAGTCTTTACTAGTCCAGTTCCTGTTTGTTCCTTAGTTCCATGTTTTCCTACTTCCAGTCACAATCCAGCCCTCCAGCCCTGCCCAAAAAGACATCCTAAGTCCTGCAGTGCTTGTCAAAGACCCAGTCCCATTTCTTCTTTTCAACCCCTACCCCTTGTTTTTGAGTGTCACTTTGCCCCCCTGGAACTGAGTCACAATGGGTAGTGTTTGAAATCTTCCCTCTGAAATGGGACCCTCAAATAAAAACAGCATTGCTTCATTAACAGCTACCAGCGCTGCTCTGTAGGCAACCCTGCCAGTCTGCAGTGACAGCAGAGGAGGGTAAAGTTCAGCTCCTCACTGCTGGGCTTTAGTTACATTTAGGGAATCATATGCCTTCAAAGAGGGGGGCAATTATTTATTATGAAGTCAGTTTTTTTTTCCGCCAGCTTCTCCTTCGAATTTTCCCGTTCCACCTTAAATGGAGCAGCAGTTAAATTCCAGTGCTTCAGGCATCAGAACTGCCGGACTATTTAAGATAGAACGGGAAATTTAGCTATCTACTGAGACGTCAGGCTACTATTAGTGATTTTTTTATGCTTGTTATGAAGAAAAGGACTATAATATATTGAAACAACATTAAACTAAGACAATACAATGTTTATCGTAATATTTAAACAGAAAATTCTGACATTTGTGGGTTTCTTTGGTCTCTTGTTCTCCATCTTGCCGGTTTTTCTTTTTTTTCTCATAACTCTCTGTTTGGAGTCTCTGAAAAACCTCCGTTTGGAGGGTCATGTAGCCCCAACACTTCGCCCCACCCCTCTGTCTCAACAAGAATCAGGACACCCTGGATGAAAACATGCAAAACAGAGGGCTAAGGGCTAAATGGTAGGGCCAAGGGGTGAAATGGGACTGGGCCAAAGTCATCAGGTCAGTTTTTTCAGCAACATGAAGATATAGGGGGCAAGGGACCTCGAGGCTGATAGGTTTTAGCGCTGATTACATTTTTAAAAAGCTTGCCCAAACTCACAGCACATGCTTTGAAAGAATGCACTTGTGGGCGGAGCAATTGATGCTGAAACATCAATCAGACAGATCAAGTTGAGGAATGCCAGCTGTGGAGCAACTGTGGTGAACCAGTATTGTTCCTATCTGAAATAATTATGATTTCTTGTTATGAATTATGAGTGCTCCTACACCTTTTTAATATGAGAGCTCCAACACCTTTCAATATGACCCCAATAACAATGGATGAGGCTAGTATGTCGGAATGTATGTGGGTGCAGGAGGTGTGGGCTGCTCATGTCTGTGCATGTCAGTGTCTCCAACATGTTGCAGAGTCTTTGCCAGATGCTCTTGAATGATAGGCTATGGGTTAAAAGCCGTCGTCTTAGCAAGAAGAACATTTTTATGAATAGCTCTTACGATGTTCCACCCACACACAAGTTGATAAGTGCACATCCGCAGGGGATTTCTTCTCTGCGTTCATTGTTTTTCCCATTTGGACATTATAACAACTGCAGAACGTGTTGCACCTTTTAGCAGCTTGACAGATAAAATGCTAAGGTGAACTGCAGTGTTTCAACACAGCCTGTTCAATTCAAGCCTTGGGTTCACTACACGACTTTTAAAGTCTGACCAGATCATAACAGACTGGGCGTCTCACACTATCAGACTGGTTTTTGCAGACTGAAATATTGGGGATCCTCACTAAAAGATTAGGGGTCACACACTACTCAACTTTTCAGCCGCTGCTGAACCGAACGGAGCTCACTGAACCCACTGAACTCACTGAACTCTCGCAAACTCTCGCGTTCTCCCATTACTGGGAGATGCAAATAAACAAACGTGGAGCTGCTGCTGCTGTTTTCTCTGACACAGTAAAGAAGCAGCAGGTAAACATGTCTAAATGAGGATCATCAGGATTTAAAAATGTGGTCAGTTTGGTATTTTCAGAGTTTTAAATGTAAACTCAATTCTGCCTTAAACTCAGCTGCATCTTGTTGCATTTTCTTCTTTTGCGCTCTCAGTTCTCATTGGCCGTTGGAGGGGTCTGTTTAGATTGAACTGTTGATCAGTTTATGCCTCTAGATTACGTTGGGTCAAAAAATCAGACATGTCTGATAAACTCCGACAGGCCTGAAACACGATTGGGATGCAGTAAATCTGTCTGCGCTGCTCACACACGACTCACACAACTGTCGTCTCCGACTGACCCAAACATCTGCAGACTAGAGCCGACCAGCTCAGACTCAGCCAGACTGAAAATTGGGGCTAAAATTGGGGTAAAAGTTGTGTGGTGTAACTCCAGCTTTAGTGAGTTAGTGTTACTACACTGGGCTGGACTCCAACCTGGGCCAGCGGGGCCTCTGGTTTCTAAGAGCCTCAGGGCTCTTATTTCTATTTTGAATATAATATATACATCGATGGATTGATAGCACTTCTTATTATGGATCATTAAGTCATTGGGACATTTTTGTAATTACACCAATGAAATATTTATGGAATATTTAGTATGTAAGTGACTGTGCTGTAAATTGTATGTTTTACATTACATGTCCAAAGGTTTGTACACACCTACATCCAACGTTTCTTTTGAAATCAGGGGTATTAATAGGGAGTTTGTCCTCCTTTACTGCAGTAACAGCTTCTACTCTTCTGGGAAGGCTTAACACTAGATTTTGGAACATTGCTGTGAGGATTTGCTTCCATTTGGTAACAAGGGCATTAGTGAGGTCAGGTACTGATGTTGGATGGTCAGTTCTGGATCACTCCAACTCATCCCAAAGGTACTGGTTGGTGCCCCATCACTCCAGAGAACACAGTTCCGCTGCTCCACACCTCAGTACTGGGGAGCCTTACACCCCTCTAGCTGACACTTGGCATTGGGCATAGTGACTCATCCGGCTGCTCCAGACAAAAGTAGTACTTAAAAAGTAATTATATGTGTCTCAATCTGTCTTCTTTCCACATTAAGTTAGTCCATATCCTGATATGTTGTCTGACTTTAGAACAGTCCGTAGCAGCATGAGGTCGATCTTTTTTTCCTCACCCTTTGTCATGCTTGTTGAACTGATAAAGCCGTGCTGCGGGCTTTTACGCAAGGAATTACTTTGCTCACAAAACATGAACGGGGGCTTACAAGATTGCATCAGTGATGGAAGTGATTCCATCAGTTATTTAAAAGTAAAGTACACATTTTATGCCCATGAAATGGCCCAGTGGCCTAATGGATAAGGCATCAGCCTCCGGAGCTGGGGATTGTGGGTTCAAGTCCCACCTGGGTCGTTGTTTAAGCAGCTTTAATTAAGGTTTCTCAGGCCAGACATTTAAAGAATTTCCAATGTTGACTTACTTGTGGTTGGTATGGTTTAGTGGGT